GAGAGAGAGAGAGAGAGTATGTCCTTCTCATCTGCCTACCAATGACGAACCTCGTGCCCATTATCTTCACCAGCATGAATTAGTCTGAATCATGTTCAAGGAATATCATCAGATCACGAGAGGAAATTTTCATAGTACCAAACGCTGCCCACGCCCACCTCTCCTTATGAAGGCGCCACGATAGGATATAGGCTTTGAGCAAGGATGTCACTGAAAACGTATGGCGACTGAATTGGTTTTAGGTTTGTTTTTCTTTCTCCGATCTTTTATAGAACACTGTTCATTATCTCTCTCCCTCTCTCTCGAGATCTAAACCTTCCAGTGAAGAGAAGACCAAAGGTACACCGCGAATGAAAACCACAAGCCAGTTTTGTTTTGCATCACCGGTGGGTAGATAATTAGATATTCGGTCTTTAAAGCTCAAGTTTACCCTGTCTTTATATTTCTACTTTTGTCTCCTGATTTCTTTCCTTTTTCCTTAATTCACATATTAGCTTTTGACTTCGAAGAGGACGAAAGATTTCGTGATAATGTTGATTGAATAAAATTAAATCGATTAAACCATTGTATAAATCATCATTAAACCTTCCATCAAGATTTCGGTTCAACAAGCGCCAAACTACCTCCCTAAACAACAAATCCATCAGGATGCATCCAAAAAGCTCTGTCACTCGTCCAGTTTTGCTCGTCGCCATATCAGTTCTGCCTATCGTCCAAGGCGCCATATCCATCGGCGAACAAAAGAGAGAAGGTAGCCTCAACTACATCGTCGCCTGGCATGAGGGACTAACCCCATGTGTCGGTGATACTCCCATCATTTCGGGGGGTTAGCGATGCCTGTGGTCACGACTTCATTCTTGATGGAATCACCTACTTTCTCGAAGGCTGTGACCCACAGAACGGGCTGAATAAGAATCCGAAGATTGTCAGACGGCGCATCGACAAGTTCGTGTATGGGAATTGCAGACCAGTGAATGCGAAGCTCATTATGTGCGTGGGTGCTCCACATGATGTTTGGAAGCACTACATCTGTGGATAGGGAACTGCGTCAATGAATGGTCGTCTTGGGATACTCGATGAAGGATTAAGTTCGTTTTCTTGGGGCATTTCGGCGCAGACATTTGTGACTAGAGCAAGTCAGGAGAAATTCTGATCCATCACGATTGAAGTACTTCGAAGGATGATTTCGAGATTACGAGTGATTTTGAGCGATGGCCTTCATCAGCTGTTTGAAAGAATATTTATAGTTTATGTGTCTGAGCGAGATCTGTTATTCACGTGGCTCATTTTGGTCCTTGCAATTATTGCTCGAGCTCATGGAACAGAGGATATGTGAACTAGAAGGCTTCTCGGAGAAGCTTGAGTTGATTCTTTCGAGCCACTCAAGAAACCCGAACCGGTTAACTGTGATGTATATTATACAAGTCCAAACGATAACCCAATACAATATTCGCTGTCATGGCTTAGTTCAAAAGTCCAAATCGGCGCTATTGATTTGATGGTAACCCTTACAATCATCCTCTGGAACAGATGGAGATTTCCGTAGGGAGTGAAATGCCCCGACAATGAATGTAAACACTATCATACACGTGATTGAAAAGCGGAAAAACCCTATGAATTTCAGATTTTCGCTTGTATTGAAAGGCTCCCCACGCATGGATCCAATGGCCGTCGCATGGCTCATACTCCCTTCAACACAGCTCGAATCGCCCCATTTAGCATCCGCTGCCATTTCCCACAGCCGTGTGGGGTTAATATACGATTTGGCCGTGTAAAATAAGCGACAATCGGCTGCCTCATATACGAACTCTAGAGGGACGAGCTTATCATCTACTCGTCCCATATTATCAAGTGAGTTGACTGCTCCATTGGCGTGCCCATCTCCACTGAACCGCGCGGAACGGAGGCGTATCTGAGAAGCATTCAGCAGGCTTCCAACGGGCGTCGTCTGCAGGAGCCTTCGTTCCCCGTCCTTACCGTGTAAGACTGAGGTGATGCGCAGAGTTGTTTGCATGTGTTTAATGATAGAGTCAAACGTTAATAGCTGCGCGCCTTTGGTCCCGCCTACGCCTTGCATTGGCTCCTTCCGAGGCCGGCCGCCAATAGCTATTGTCTGAACGTGGCCCTGCTCTCTCATAAGCTGCGAAAATATAGCGCAAGCAGATTGGCAGATTCCATCATGTAGTATAACCATGTTCTCAGGTAGAAATGGTTGAGTGGGTGATGCGAGCAGGGCGAAATTGTAGCCGGTAATATTGACATATGGCGCTAATGTGTGTCCTCCCAAATGATTCGAGAAGTTGTATCGTCTGATGGCGGTGAAAGCATCACCGTCTTCTCTGTATGGTCCGTAATATGTAGTGAAATTTGCGAATGGCATCCCTTCAATGTTCAGAAGATTTTGGAAGTTCGCGGTGCTCCTTGCCACTTCACTAAACAACCCGTCGTTCATCACCATGGCTGTATCGCTTTCGATTAGATCCGCTACTGACTTGCTGTACATATAAAAAGCATCATGAGCCCGAAACCTAGATGCCCCAAACGGTTCCACACTTGGGAATAGTTGCTTGAAGAACTCAAATGCCATGTCAATGGTTCCGCCGCTATTGCCGCGAAGATCGATAATAAGCTTTTTCAATCCTTTCTGTTTCGATTGCATTATGAAATCCTGGAGAACTGCTTGGGCTTCGAGGAATCCCGCGACCGTTTCATCCGTGTCTTGTCTGGGTTCCGCAATCGGTTTGAAATTTGGAAGAGCGAGGACAGCAACGTCATAATGTCGACGAGATTCGAGTTGATAACCTTGGACTGAGAGCCCACTTTGAGTAATAACGGGTTCTGGATATTCTTCGGGCAGCATGTAAGTGTCTGAACGTAAGAAGATGGGTTCGATCGATTCTGCCGACGTCTGAGTCGGGGAATTGGCTTCAACCTCATTCGTGTCTCCCTGACAAAATTTTGCAAAGAAGGAGGAGCCGTCATTGATGTTGGAGAAGTTGTAAAACTCGCGAATCATGGCAATGTTCTCATTCACTACCCTCGAGCCGTTCATGAATCCAAACGTTGTGACTGGTCCATCGTACAGACCTTGCGTGAGGTGAAACTGTCCACCACTATCCATCCCCACCACCTCAGCAGCAGGGTTGGGGAAAAAGCTGTTATACTGCGCATCTTCGTCGTGGTAGGTACCGTGAGTCCATAAGCTTTGCAGATATTCGGTAGCATTTTTGCCATTGATAGTCTCAACGCATGATGGCACAAAATTGCCTGAGGCGCTTGCAAGATGTAGGTCTGAGAGTAGATATAGCCGAGGCAAATCCAGGCCATCTTCTGAAATTGAGACGAGCTTCGTCTCAGGCCGGACAAATAAGAAAACTTCGAGCATATCTGGGAAGATCCGCAGATGAGAGTCTTTGGCACGCCGGAATAAGGAGTGTAGGGCAAGCTGTACTTCGAAGTCGCTATGGTATGCCCGGTCTTTAATCGATTGCGCAGTGTAATCGAGCTCGGCTAGTAGATTGAGAGGCTTGTTGTGAATAGCACTTTCGATATTGATGTAGTGACCAGTATTTAGGCAGTTGAGTGTAGATTGAAATTCCAAGAAATGTTTCGGCTCTTCAATTTGTTTGATGTCACCTTCTATGTCGACCGGCACTGACATGAGACATTCGAATGCAAGTTGAGCTGGGACTTGAGCTCGGCGGGTTCGCGTGAAAGCTGCAGTGGCTTGTGCCGCCCATGATGATGAGACCTCCGCGCACGGTGTATTCCATGCCTGGGCAGCCGCATTAAAAATTGACAGGATGAGGAATGAGTGCATGATGTTTGTCAGCTTGTGTTTTTGGAATGAAATTTAAGGACATAGTACACTTGGGCGAAGAGGAGCGAAAGCCAGAATTATATACCGCTCGTGCACTGGATAACAAGAAGGACCCACTTGCGAAAGTAAACTAGCTAATTCGGGAATCCAGTATAAAAATGAGATATTGGGATTTCGCGCGGCATCTCGCATTTGATCGTGTCCGAGAAATTTGTCACAAGAAGTTTGTATAGAGACTCAGACCTGCAGGGAATAGAGAAGTTTATTCATTTGCCTGCTTTTTATATGTAACGACTCTCCCCATGTAGAGAAAACACACGAACAAACAGAAAGATGTCGTATATATGATAAAAGAGCGAGTGAAGTTAAGCGTATTCCATGGGGTAAGGTCAGATCTTAGCCATACTAGGATGATCAAGACACTCATTGGTCATAATGATCAAGAAGTGACAGGACTATTTAATCCTTGGAAACCTCCTCGCGCGGCCAGTACGATCGCAAGTCAGCAGCGTCGACATCGTTGTCAGGAGCCGCCTTTCGAGGCCAGTAAGATCTCAGGTTGGCAGCATCGACATCATTGTCGGGAGCTGCGTCTCGGGGCCAGTAAGAACGAAGGTCGGCGGCATCGACATCATTGTCAGGAGCTGCTTTACGAGGCCAGTATGATCTCAGGTTGGCACCATCGACGTCGTTGTCGGGTGATGGTTCCTGTCGGTCAGGTCAGTCCAATGTCAGAATAGAGTGAGAGTCTCATCGTTTTTCATACCCGTGCCTGGATCCCGCCAACAGTCTGTACAGTTGGTGCAGCCAAAATAGGTTGGGCGACGGTAAGAAGGATCAGGATTTTGCAAAGGGAAGCCATGTTGATGATTGAGAAACACAGAATAAGATGGGCTTGAGTTGAGATGGAGACTTGAGATGGAGACTTGCGATGGAGACTTGAGATGGAGACTTGAGATGGAGACTTGCGATGGAGACTTGCGATGGAGACTTGAGATTGGATTCCTGCTTTTCAGAGACCATCTCGAGTGACGAAAGGTGGAATATATACATATACCACTTCGGGAAGAGCATAGTTAGTTACTAGAAATATTGTAGATGAGAAATACACCGAAATACGAGCCGATGTGTCAGGGGTTCGATTCGGTCCGTAGTGGTCGCTAAGCATGTCCACCCCGGAGGCGCTACGAACTGGATGTATGTGCATCACCATATCCTCGTCTATCACATTCTCGCATGTCCCGAGAGCCCTCCTAGCGAGTACCAACATCTCGAAAAAGGGGCAAGTATCCGAAGCAAAGAGATTCACTTGAGTCTGGTCATTCTCTATCTATACGGCATAATCCCACGCTGAGATCCGCGGTTTCCTTTCCTAGCACAACGTCCACGCCGGACTTCATTTGTCTACAGGATACAGTTAAAGCCAGTATTCCTCGGCCCGTCAAGATTGGTAGATCTTGGCGTGCACACAGTAGCGTAAGCGCTCACCAGATTGACGAGCGCAGTACTCAGTACAAGATTCGCGCCTTGCTACCTTGTAAATCCCAAAATAGAGCAACCGTTCGTTAAAAGCCTCTTTGGTAGGTTTCCGTAATGGATAAGCGAGGCACGCCAGTTCTTGCTTAAGAGGGTTGACTGAGTCCGTTGGTACAGAATCGCCTACGATAGATAGCATAACGAATGCATTCTGACCACAGGTGAAGCAAGCATCGCTGGGCACATGTGCAAACATTCAGAACGTATACCGAGGCCGCATTTTCCAACCACGCCCATGGCCGCTGGGCTGTGAAAAAACCATTCGCATTTTGAACATGATTTTCCTCGACGTGGTTAGGTACGTACTGTGACGTAGAGTCCAACATTATCCCATTATTATCGAGGTTGGTCATCAATTGGCGTGCAGATGATTTTTCTGTTCAGGCGCTACTAGTGTGCTTATTTGCGGAGCCCCTCCTTCTCAAGAACTATCAGATCGAGAATCTCACTAGATGAGGAAACCTTTGTCTTGGTACTGCCAGCATGTTTGGCGACCATAGCGCTAAATATGTACCAATTATCCAAGAATGCCCGTCAAATTATGATTCGCCTTGTGCTCCAGTGTCCATCCCACCATAGCGTTCCAGTCTTTGCACTGGTGCTCAACACCCCAGCCATCAGTATCAGTACGCTTCTCTCCAAGAGGGGGTTCTCTCGAATGCTCGAGGGTCATATCGCCAGAACACATGAGGGATTGCCGGATATAATCGAAACAATGGTTGACGTGATCAGGGAACGGGGTGGGATCATGAGTATCCTTGTCCGTGCCGTGATAAAATCGGTGGGGATCGGTGTTGTTGGCAACTGCTACCATCTCGTAGAATAAAATCCGGATCATTCCCTATATTTGAAACAAATGAGCCATGGTAAATTGTACAATGTGTCACGCGAGAGTGTATACATACTAGGCAGTGAAGTTGGTGAAACACAGTCACGGAGTAGCGATCTATTCCTTTGTCAGTCGGAATACCGGGCTGGAGACCATATCGATCAGCAGCTTCAGGAACAAGGACGTAGCCATGACCTTCTGCCGAGTGGTTCAGCAAAAAGACTTTCGAGAACGAAGATAAGGACGTGAACTCATACCGGGAATCAAGCTGTCCCAGGCTGCATTACTATCCTTCTCTGGCGGTCTTGCAAACAGCTCTTGAAGATCAAATTTAACACCGTGGGTCTCGACTAGAAACCTGTCAGTTAGCATGTGCCCTGAAAGTCCCATGGAAACTTGAACTCGCTATGTGACCCACAAGTTGGAATAAATGACTCCTTTTTCCCCGTGTTAGTCTTGACCAGATATGTTGCCCCAAGTACAGTGGCTGGTAGAACGACAATGATCAAAAGGCAGAGTAACCAAAATCTGCGTCGCTGGTTTTGCGACTCTGGTAGCCTCCCAAACTCTTTCGTAGTTCGAGGGAGTTGATCATCGGAATCACTAGCTACCACCGGCCGATAGAATGGTTTCGGCCACAAGAACGAGCGAGACGTTGCTCCTCGAATGAAGTTTGCAATCATGTTCATCATAGAGGAAAAAGAGCTGAAAATGGTTTCTCTTGAACGACACAAAACTTTCAGCAGAGTAGCAAAGTTTGGTGCTGTGGGTAGTGAAGGTTGTTCGAAATAAGTCTCTTGAAGTGTGTGTGGCAAAGACCATAGGTATTGAGGACTCCCAAGTGTGTTGCCATATGTTGAGAAAATTATTATTCATTCACCTAAATCTACTGTCCCTCTTTTTGAGCTTCAGGGCTCCACTTGTGGATGACATGATACCATAATTGCATCCATGGATATCATGCTCCTTCGCTTATGCAGTACCATTTGACTCTAACCAACATTTGCGCAGAAGTGCCATCCTGTACGTTATACTACCCGTTGGCGAGGACTCTTACGCTTCTGAAAAGGGGCCTGGAATCTTTGATGCAAGGTTCACGTCGTGAATCAATCCCCGGAAGTAGAAGCTGAGGTATCCTATTGGTCACAACTGCGCTTGCGGCGCAGAAGTTCACAATGCACTCTTCGGACCTGTCATGTAACGGTGGCAACTAGCGTCACTTGATGTTGGGCTTTGCCATGAATTCAAGAGGAACAGGGATACCATGGAGGGTCTTACTCGAATGCACTAGGACTCCTAAAAGATTGTCATGACATGTGTCTCTACATGATGAGCGAGATGTATCCACTGACAGAAAATTTGAAAGCACACTTCATCCAATAGCATAACGTGATCATCGGATGCAAGGATATGCTGAAAATACATACCTTCTGGTGGAGTCCTCATCATCACGTTATTTCTTGCCTATATTCAACGAGGTTCCTTATTCTAGCACACTCATCTTGGTCTGGGGACTTTCATCGTTCTATCATTTTCACGCATCATGGCGCTCAACATGGCTGAAAAGGACCAAGAGAAAGATCAGTTGCTTGATTCCTCTCTCCCATCGGATCGGGCGAGATGGAATCGTGCACAATCAAATCAATGGTCGAGTACTGCTCAAATGTGTCACATTGTATGCTTGTACATCACAAACATTCTGTTCTTGACTGGGATTGTCGTGCTGTGCATTAGCAAAGACAATTGTCGTGATCCAAGTCTTCAAACATATTGTGAGTCATGTTCTGCGATAGGAGAGCGGAAATTGTTACTGACGGTATGTTGAGCCCCTGCAATTGAGGCTGTTGAATATGAAGAAGTTGTCTTCCATGATCTGCCGGGAGAGTGGTCTCCATATTTTGGAAAACCAACCGATGAGAAGGATAAGCTTTGGGATGAACTATACGCTGGTCAGTCGAGCTTTATCCATCTAATCACCATGACACTGATGTGTGACTCAGGGACTGGATTCTTGTTATATACGCCAAAAGAAACGAAAAAGATGCCGAATCAGACTGTGGCACTTTCCGGTCCTGACGGTGACAGTGGTATCTACAACCTCGAGGTGTTTCATGCGCTTCACTGCCTGGTAGCCAGCCCTTCCTTCGTCTTCGAAACGTGTTGTGAGGCTAACTCTCAAAGAATGCCATGAGGAAGTCTTTATTCCCAGAACGCTTTCCCGACTATAACATTTGGCGTCCAAACGGCACGCGAGACGACTTTTGGGAGATCCATCACAGTGCGTGATTCTTCGCTCTTCTTACTCATACAGAGAACATGGGCTTCTGGCTAAACTGAACAGGTCACTGTATTGATCGTCTGAGACAAAACATTCAGTGCGCAGGGAATATAGGCGCGAATTACTACTACTGGAACGGTGACATTGAAGACAAAAGATGGATGATGGACTTGCGTTCTACACAGACATGCCGTAAATTTGAGAGTTTACAGGAATGGGCAAGGTCTCGAGATTACGTGGGGTGGAATGTAAGAGAAAGGAGTCACTTCACCAATAGTGGTTAAAGTGACATCTTCGTTTTCTGAACTGAAGCTTGGGTGGTCGAAAACCCCGTTACAACATTTGGACCGTAGACACCTGCACAAAGGAACAATGATCTCTCCTTATCACAAGCCACTTCCGCGGCCTTTTCCCTCTCAATGACAAAACTCCTCCGGTATCAAAATAAATAAGTTCTGGCACTTGCTATCGACCCTAGCTCTGTTGATCAGATTTCTTCCTTGTGAAAGTCATTGTATCTTTGGTGGCGCAACGGGGAGAATGCATTCCTCTTCTGCCGAGTCGCAGTCGCATATCATGTGAGCACTCTCGCCGTGTTCGGCACTTGTTACACGTTATATTCGCGCCAAGATAAAAAGGATTCGGACCTTGTACGATGTTCCAGCGTGGCTGGGTTCACGCGGGGAAGACCCGTCGGATCTCGTATTTCGTATTCCACTCAATTATAGAAACTTTATTGTCATGCCCGCTCGGCCTACCAATCTTGACGGGCCGAGTCGGCCTACATGCGCCGGGCAAGGTTACATCGGGAATGCCAAGGACTCTGGCCAATTGTCAGCGCATCAAATAAATCTCTCGCTGCCACAGTATCTGTCAATCACAGGGGTTGACTCTTGGCGACATTTGACCAACACTGAGATGGCAAGAAAAACCATCCGGGCATTTCCGGACATTCCTCCTTCTGTGCCTATGCGACTAGACCCGGTTTAGGAGTTCATCCGGCCTACTACAGCCTACAACATATCGCCCTGTGAAAGATGGCCAAAGATGCTTGCAGGACCATCGGACCGATGGTAATCCAGGTTTGTGGGCACGTAAGCTGAGCAATCGTATTGGCATCTACTTGTACAACAATCTAGAGTTGGCACCATTGAGGGACAACGGCTGTTGATGCCATAACATTGTCTTCAGAAATCTCTATAATGCGAGAAATTTTAGACGCAGAGGAGAGAAGTGGTGATGGCGATATTGCTGAAGGAGAGTCCTTTCTGCCTCAATCACATGCACGAAAACGCCAAGGTTTATCACTACACCGTGGATGGATGGTCTTGATCGTAACACTGAATCTCGTTGCCCTTCTCTCCATTTACCTGTTATCGAACTCAAAGAAACCCATATCGACATTTCCAAACCCCTTCCCTTCCCGTGAGTACCCAAAAAAAAAATAAAGGAAAATGTAAGGAATTTGGATGGACTTCACTTGCTAACTGTATTAGTGGAATACGAGATTAGGTCGTTTGCTGAGGAGTACGAGAGAGACTCTTCGAAAATAGAGAAATGGGACACAAAATCGGACTATCCACCTGGAGATGGCTACATGTTGATTGAAAATGCTGAAGTGTATGGACTTCCTCCCGGTGTGCTAATGAATGGGAAAGCCAATCTATACGGTACTGCTTGGACCCATCAGTATCACTGTCTGGTATGAACACGCACAACAAATTCACGAGTACCATTGTTCTGCGATACTAATCCAATCCTCGTAAAGGACTATCTGCACAATATGTTCGAAGCTACTCTCCACAACCTCACACTAGAAACACCGAGTCCGCATGGCGATGAGAACGACTCGGGGGCCGGCGCAGAAATCCATCACGTCAGGCACTGCTTCGACTACCTACGGCAGCACATCCTTTGTAATATGGATATGAGACTAGAGTATCCTACCACAAATCCGAAGGGGATCAACGGATATGCAATCCCGAGGAAGTGCGTGAGAAGGGTAAGTAATGTCTTGTTCAAACCGCTACATTCAAGAAGTTGGAACTGATTGTGGGAACAGGAGCCGCTGGATAGATATATGGGGCAAGCTGCGGCGACTCTGGAATAGTCGAGCTGTTCAGACTTTCACTGGTATGAACGTTGCCAAAGAATGAGATTATAGTATTTCTCTACACCACCTAATTCAGCAGTGTCAGGTCAGCGATCAATGCTTGAGTTTGCTCTTACAATCACATCAATAACAAACTAGCCTCGAAGAACAGTCAGCAAGTTGTTTTTTTTTTTGAAACCCCTTTTGTGTTAAGGAAGAGGTTGTTAAGTCTGTCCCACAGGCATTTTCAAACTACGTTCTTCAGCAGTCTATAATATTTTATTACCATACCGCCTTGTCGTGTGTGAACGACAAGTCGACCTAATTTCAGAATCTGATCGAGTCCCGACCCGCCGGTGCAAACAGACCATAGAAATGGCTGTAATCAGCTTCAAATTTGTCGCAATCATTTCAATTCAGAAAGCAATTTTTGACACCCTGATGACTTGAGCTTATCGCCAAGGATGTAGAGTCCTGTTCAGGAAATGGCCCGCGATTAGGACACTCGCTTGGTCGATATACCACCGTTTCGTATCGAGTCAATCACCTTTGCCGAGCCCCACGAACAAATCACAGTGTTGTGGTTTAGTTCCCCGCAATCTTGACAGTGCATAAGGTTGGTTCTGTGGGAAATTGATGGGGACTTAGTGTATTCAGTACAAGTGAACGGATCTGGCTACATGGGTTTAGTTAAATAAAGTGCACAAGACCTAATTGCCTCCTATGGCCTACCGGAAATAGCCGTTAAGCCGGAGGGTCCGGGGTCTGATGCTTTTATCCGTTAAAATAAGAGTTGTACCCATTACTTTAGTTAAAGTCAACTTTCCACGGGTTCAGCTGTCACGCAATCTTATCTGCGGAAACCGATTGGGCAGGCCCTACGTCTGGTTCACTCCGCTGACTAGAAGGTGCGAACCCAGTACAAGGAGGGGGGGGGTGTGTGAAAGTGGAAACAATCATCCTGGTAGCTCGGCCTGCACCCCCGTCTCTCTCCAGCATCAAGAATTTCACGAATATTTGTTTCTGGATTCGTTCCACCGTATCTGCGCCAAATGTACATATCTATCTGGCGGTCGCGCTATGTGGCAGGATGTAACAGTAAATCCTTTCAAGTCGCGCACGCCGCGACATTTGGGTAAACAACACGGAACTGCACGTACCATGGATTAGGTTTACATCCCTGCCAAAGTTGGAACTTCACCATATCTTCGGCCGGAAAAAATACATTCATTCAGCGAGGACTTCAGGTCCAATGGGTGGAACGCCATTGTGAATGCCCCCCCCGGTCCGTGTTCTAGGGACCTCATTGCGGGCCGATCCTTGACTTTCCAGGCTCTGTCTGACAAGGTCCCTTTTGCCGAATCTTTGTCTTGGAGCATAACGCCTAGCGATGATTCAGGATGGGGGAATAAAAAACAAAGACCTGCCTGTTCTGGATGCAAACATTTATGCAGATCATCAGGGACTGTGCCAATCATCTGCCGCTCCAAAAGATGATACCAATGCTACCAGGCTAGCCCTCGACCGACGCGTCTTCCAGCTACACGCGTTCCAGCATACAACTTGACATAATGATAAAAAGAAGACTACATACAGCATGTGAGATTCTGTAGCACGACCATCAGACGTTTTTGTGTTTGACAGCATCCTCTTTCTTGACCTCAGTATCCTTCGTTGTCATTGTGGGATAATCCACTCAGGATGAACGCGACCGACGATGCCTTCGGGCCTCGCCTCGAGGGCGCGTTCGACTTTACCTTGCTATTCGAGCAAAGCATTTTTTCAATTTTGCCTTCTGCGGTGCTGATTTGCGTTGCTGCCGCGCGCATTGGCTGGCTACGTCGCAAAGATGTCAAAGTTCGTGCTGGTATGCTTTTGGGAGCAAAACTGGTATGCGCATCCCTACCGCAGTAGAGGGCGAAAACTGATACTGACAAAACTCGCCAGGGTACTGCGGGCATCCAGTGTTGCTTGCAACTTGTTACTCTAGTTCTCTGGTCTGTACCCAACAGCTTACCGACACGTGCCTCTATCCCCGCCTCCGCATTGTCCTTGATTGCGTCCGGTGCTGTTGGAGCTCTGTTCTACATCGAGCACAGACGGTCAACTGCACCCTCCAAGATTCTTTCCGGTTACCTTTTCCTCACCATATTACTTGATGTCGCCCAAGCTCGAACATTGTTCCAACGCGCAGGGCTTCGGTCTCTTGCAGCGATCTTTGTGACCAGTTTGTCGATCAAACTTGTGTTGCTGTTGCTGGAAGAAGTCCCCAAGAGATCATTGTTGGCACCTGGGCTCAAAGAAACTACATCCGTGGAGAAAACAAGTGGCCCACTGAGCCGAACCGTATTTTGGTGGCTGAACAGCCTTTTCCGTAAAGGATTCGGGGACATACTCTCCCTTGGAGACCTGTCTATCATTCAGGCCAAGTTCACATCACGGCAGCTGCAAGACTGCCTTGGCGCGGTGTGGGATAAATGTAGAGATCTCAAAATCACATCCTTGGAGTTCAAGGCACTGATTGTCCCCCTCTAGGCAACAAGCAGCGAAAACACTGTCTCACACTCGCCACTTTCCGTGCTTTCAGCTCGACCTGTGCAATAACTGTCCTGCCGCGATTATGTCTTTCAGCCTTGCGATTTGCCCAACCGTTCCTCATCCAAAGAATCATTACTTTCGTCGGCGAACCGCCTACCACAAATTCAAGTGAGATAGCTAGTGGACTCATTGGAGCCACAGCTCTAGTATATATTGGCATGGCAGTAAGATATTTGTCCCTCATTCACCACTCAAAGACCCCATACTCAGTCTCTGCTAGGTCACGCGTGCCTACTATCAACATCTCAATTTTCAACTCACGACAATGATCCGAGGAGGCCTAGTTGCCCTTATATTTCAGAAGACATTGGAGCTTGATAGCACAAAGGCTAGCGAAGGCGACGCCATCAGTCTTATAAGTGCCGACATTGAAGGCATTGAACCAGGAATCAGTCTTATTCACGAAGTATGGGCCAGCATCATTGAACTTGGCATTGCCTTGTACTTGTTGGAAAGGCAAGTTGGGGCTGCCTGTTTCTTCGTGATAATTCCTGCTGCCGGTAACTTATTGTCCCGCGACTCAAAATTATCAAATCATCTTGCTAACATCACAAAGGTGCGAGCATGTTGACTTCCCAATTAATGAAGGCAATGCGCCCTGCAAGGATGAGTTGGGGCAAAGCCATCAAAGAGCGAGTGTCTGCTTCGTCGAACATGCTAGCACAGATAAAGTCACTCAAGACCATGGGTTTGACCAGCTACATGTCTACGTCTATTCAGAATCTCCGTGTCGCCGAGTTGGACGTGTCGAGGAAGTTTCGTCTAGCACTGATACGCATTCTGACTACGGGTAAGAGCTAGAAGACTGTGATGAACGTCTCGTACCGGCTAACGTTCCATTCAGGCCGTCTTGCCGACCAAATGACCCCGGTCGTCATTATTGCTGGTGCAGTTTTCTGGACGAAACGCACCGAGGATCAAGAGCTCTCTGTAGCTGAAGTTTTCTCTGCCCTCGCGATCATCTCCTTGGTCTCGTCGCCAATCTCACAGCTCATTTCCTGCCTTCCAAATGCCATGGCATCCATAGCCTGCTTTGACCGAATCCAAGAGTATCTATTGGAGGAGGAAATTGGAAGCTCTTGCCTTAAGCCATCGAAATCTCACGATAACACCGACTTCGAAGAACGAGAGGGAGGAGCGTCTGGTCTCCCGTTGTCTGCATCCATCGAATTGACCGGCATGATACCGCATCAGTCACGTTCGCCCTCGAGTCCGGCTGCGGTCATTGTGAAAGATGGATTTTACACGCCAGCTGATTCTGGCAGTCCTATACTACAGGGTATCAACCTTTCGGTCAGTTGGTCTTCGTGTGTGATGATTGCTGGTCCGATTGGCTCAGGCAAAACAACTCTACTGAAAATTATACTTGGTGAAAAACCTCTATCCAAGGGCTCTATTCAAGTCGACCGCAACCAGATTGCATACTGTAACCAGACGCCGTGGCTTCGAAATATATCTGTTCGGGATAACATCGTCAGTCCGAATCTTTGGGATGACTTGTGGTTTGCCACCGTTGTCCGAGCTTGTGCTCTAGACAAGGATTTATCCCTACTGCCAAATGGCGATCAAACTCTTGTCGGTAGTGGGGGCGTGGCTCTGAGCGGTGGTCAAAAACAGCGCGTTGTAAGTGCAGATACCAGCCCTAACCGACATCCAGATGCTAAACTCAGTAGGCTTTAGCTCGTGCAGTGTACTCACACAAGAGCATTCTCATTCTTGACGATGTCTTGAGTGCCCTCGATAATGCGACTGGCTCAATAGTCTTTGAGAGGCTACTGGGTAAAGAAGGAATTCTCAGGTCAAGGGATATTACGGTTGTGCTTGCAACACACTCTGGTAATTTTCGAACTCCGTCATGTTTCGTATGAGTGGCCACTGAACTTTTCCCACGCAGTTCACTATTTACCTGCGTCCGACGCAATTATTGTCCTAGCCAAGGATGGCCAGATTGCTCAACAAGGCACCTTTGGCGACTTGAAAAATACAGATGGATATGTTAGAGATCTGGCTCTAGAGCAAATTGCGCGCGCTAAAGCCATGGAAGACGAAGATACCACAGATGGCGCGGAATCCAAACCGAAAGTTGAGGCCGCCAACGAAAACTCTGAGGCGTTGGACCTCAAGCGACAGACAGGCGATATAAGCCTGTATACATTCTACTTTAAGTCTGTCAGTTGGTTTCTGGCGGTTTTCTGGCTAGCCCTTGCGATCCTTTACACCGGTCTTTCCAAGATACCAGGTAAGTGCTTCCATTCATACGTGAATACATTCACCTGCGTCAAGGCCTTTGAGGACGCTGATCGAGTCGGTAGATGTCTGGATCCGAATATGGGCCGAACAGGGAATGAACAACAATTCTGGTTATTACTTCGGATCATATTTTGCACTGTCATTCTCGAGCGTCTTAGCATCAGCATTTAGTGTCAGGTAAGTCCTAACACATTTCCCAGCGACTAGAATGAGCCACTAATGAGTGAACTCAAGTTTCTTTATGCTGGTCATTGTGCCTAAATCAGCTCAACATCTCCATTGGCTCTTCCTCGAGTCTGTGATGAAGTAAGTGACCTGGGCTGTCGCTATTCGAGCCTGCAGCTGACGCATCCTACTAGGGCACCTTTGTGGTTCTTCACTACTACCGATAGCGGTGTAACCCTTAACAGGTTCGCCCAAGACATGACTCTACTGGACAATCGACTGCCCGTGGCCGTATATCACACAATCTACGGTAAGTCACCCCACCACAACTGAGATTCCTTGAGTGGTGGCGCTGATTCGGCGACTACTTTAGACGTCCTCTTTGTCCTGCTGAGTACCGCCCTGATTGCTGCTGGTGCACAATACGTGGCAGCAGTGATTCCGTTCAGCGTTATCGCCCTGTACCTTCTTGCGAAGTATTATCTGCGAACATCACGCCAGATACGTTACCTCGATCTCGAAGCCAAAACGCCCTTGTTCACCCTTTTGACTGAAACAATTGATGGCCTAAGTACTATCCGGGCGTTCGGTTGGAGGCGATCGATTCTCGAGGAAAGCTTCAGACTTCTTGATGGATCTCAGAAGCCTTATTATTTGCTCTTCTGTATTCAGCGCTGGTTGACAGTCGTTCTCGATCTGTTCATAGCTGCGATTGCTGTTATACTAGTTGCCTTTGCTGTGAAATTCCGCAATACCACGACGCAAGGTGCCATTGGCGTTGCCATGGTCAATATTCTCGGTCTCAATACAGAGCTTTCCGAGCTTGTCAACAACTGGGCTGATCTGGAGACTTCATTGGGCGCTATTGCGAGGTTACGCTCGTTCTTGCAAGATACTCCAAAGGAAGATGACCCTGGGAGAGTCGCACCAGCAGATGCGACCTGGCCCTCCCAAGGTCGTGTAGATCTCAAGGGCCTGTCGGCTGCATATAGGTTTGCAACCAATTCTCGAGTCTCTACCACATATATCGACACTAATTCACAATACTAGGGCAAATGATAATCCCGTGCTTCGCAACGTGTCCCTTAGTGTACTGCCCGGCCAGAAGATTGGAATTTGTGGTCGCACTGGAAGGTAAGTCCGCACAGACCGGTTAGGGATCGGGACTCCGTGAAGTATTATATAGATATTGACCATTCATCGCAGTGGGAAAAGCTCTCTAATCTTGACTATTCTGCGTCTCCTTGAGATCGAATCGGGGGCAATCAGTATCGATGGTGTGGACCTTTCCACAGTATCAAGGGAGTCGGTTCGGACCCGCATTATTACCCTGCCTCAAGACCCCGTTAAGCTATCTGGCACTGTGCGTCAAAACCTTATTCCCGGCGAAGCTGCTTCCTCCCTTGCTACCGCCGGTGGCAACGAAGACGAGCGCCTGGAGTCGGCCCTGACCAGAGTCGACATGTGGGACTTGATACGGGAGCGCGGCGGGCTTGATGCTGATTTTGGCGACATGGAACTGTCTCAAGGCCAGCGACAGCTCTTCTGTCTCGCCCGCGCGATCCTGCGTCGCAATGACAGTACGATCGTGCTTTTAGATGAGCCAACAAGCAGCATCGATCGGGAGACGGACGAGCGGGTGATGAAGGTCATTCGCGAGGATTTCAAGCACTGCACTGTTATTGCGGTGGCGCACAGGCTTGAGACCATTCTGGATAGCGACGTGATCGCTGTTATGGATGCGGGCAAGATCCAGGAGATTGGTGAACCGAAGGCTCTGCTGGGACAGGCTGACTCAAGGTTCAAGGCGTTGTGGGACAGCAGAAATGGCTGAATGTGATCAGTTCGAGATAGGAGGCCCGGACTTTCGTAAGCTATCGTGTATCATACGGCAGGCCTTTGCAGTCAAGGCGACAGTACCGGAAGTTTTGGATGAAAAAAAAAATAAAAGAGGAGGAAATTGGACAAACGGGTACACCATTCGTATGGCAAGGACACTATACTTTTGATATGAGCCACAGGGGCATGCTTCCTGAGGACTTTATGCAGTGGTTACGGGCCTTTAGTGGATGCAATAAATAAAGAATGTGATGAGCTCAGAAATGACTGCAAAGCCACAGTCTTCGTTTTGAAAGATTTCATTCCCGCGTTATGACCTAACTGCAACACGAGCCCATGGCTTACGACTTCGCTTGTGTGTTTTCTGGCATCTTGATCAAAAGTTGCGAGCTTGGTCACAACAATGTCTAAATAGCTTTCATCTAATAATGCATGCGGTGCTGGGCGCCAAGAATCTCGGAGGGCACTGGCCCGTGCCTCGGATCGCCGAGAAGAGGAAGACTTATACTCGGAGCTTTTTTCAATAATCTTGTTACGAACATACACCCTTGCATACGGCAAACAGAGGATGTTGGCGCTTAAAAAGACAGTATACGGGGCTAAGGACCGAAGCCCGCAAGTATTCCAGATAAGGACCAGCCCAACACACCCGCCAGCTGTTAATAAATATTAAGAGGCTCACTAATAAATCAGTAATCCAGGAGTAAGACTCATAACGGGATTAATAAGCCAAATATAAGCATTACCACCACGATAATAATTTAAAAAAAATTAATAAAAGAATAAATAAATATATATTATACAAGGATTTTTTATATAAATAATTATTACCTTAATAATTAATTCAAGCATTTATTTTACTCATAAATAAAGCATTTAATACGCTTTTACGATTGTATTTATAAATTAATTTAATTTAGTTAACTTAAATTTACTTTTTGCTTTTAATATATTTATTTAGCACTCTTTAGGCTGAGCGAGGATGTCACTGAAAATGGATGGCGGCTGAATTATTTTTAGGTTTGTTTGTTTTTTCCTCCGAATTTTTTATGTAACACTGTTCCTTGCCTCTCTTTCTCTCTCTCTCGATCTAGACCTTCCAGTGAAGAGGAGGCCAAAGGTACACCGCGAATGAAAACCACAAGCCACCGCGCAACCAGGCACAAGATCATCCATTTGCGCTGGTCTAGTAAAACACCATCTCCACTCACATACAACTCTCCATGATGTACAAACGTTACACCATGCGCGAGAAAAAAAAAATCAAGAGAACTTTAGTCCAACTAGCAACATCGCACTTTACCCAGTGTCGCCCGTCCTCGAATGTCCAGAAACTTGTAATGATACAAGTTGCCGTGCCGACATATATATTCTGAGGCAGGGATGGGTGTGCTACACCCTACAGTATCCTTAGAAAGATGCATGACAGTACCAAGAGACATCTGAAAGAGTTAGAGAGCCACTTGTATTTGAGAATCGGTGGCAGAGACTTACCACGACGAGGCCTGATGAGGGATCGCGTACTACTACGCAAAGGTTGATGGGACTCGCAAGAGGCGATTGCCATACCCATAAAGGGCTCTGATCCCTCACATTTGGGTGTAAAAGAAGCGGGTTGAGATAGCAAAGTGGGAATTGGCAAGGATCTGCACTGGATGGGCTCGTCAGACTATCGTGAGTTTAAAGTCTTGATCATCATCTTCGCTTTGTGTTTATCGACAACAAGCAAGTTGCGAGCACTGAAAACGGCATGCATTGTGTCGACAACTTTATGGAAACTGCTGGCAGCCCCGCGCTCTTGGGTGAATCGGACGATGCTGAGTGGGCTTCTCTTGCCATGTTCAATCACTGTCATGATCTCGGCAGCAAAAGATACTTCCTTCATCGCGAGATCTGTTTCAAAATTATTAGCTTGTATTGATGGATTGCTTCAATGGATGGAGAAATGGCTTACAGTTCTTGGCACCCACGCGCCCGAAGACGATATTTCTGTCCTTGTCAACTTGTACATCTCGAATACCGTATCGGCGCCACTCTTTCAATAAGATAGCAATTTCCTGCCGTGTTTGGCGTCGGGAAAGAGTGAAGCAAAGATGTTCTGTGGCAGGCTTCACCCGGAACAATCGTGCAAGCCAGTTCTGTTGGGGCTCAATATTTCGTTGTGCGACGTTACCTTTCCAGGCGCCGTTATTGGGAGGTCGTGCGGGATGGCTAAACATTCGGACGGGCTCCGGGCTTGGAGGGTCATCGAAATCGACATCTGTGCTCTTGGTTAAATCTAGTCCATCTGAAAGTGCAAGTAAATGCCCACCTGCTACCGAAAGCTTCATGTTGTCTGTGGCCTTGGAATTGCGCCAGAAAGCAAAGCTGAAGCTTCTCTTCTTGGCCGGCAGAAGTTCTATTCCAGCCGAGCCTGTGCTGTTGGTTTGCGGGACACTGGCGGTATGATCACTACGGGAGTGCTCGCTTGAATCGAAAACATCATCCTTGTCCTTGGACCCACGCTTGAACCACGATGACTTCTTGCGCGTAGGACTGTGTGTGCTATCTGCTGATGGTGTTGGAGGTTCTTCCGGAATGGTATCTCTGATTTCATCAAAAGCGTATTGCTGACGGAGGTTCATGTTCTTGCGAGGAGGCGGTTGTGCTGCAGCACTATTGGCAGCTTTCTTACGAATGTTGAGCGGTGCTGGAACTTTGACTGGACTTTGTCCGTCACCAGGCGACACGACCATTCTAATTGTGTTCTCCTGACGAGAGAGGTAACTGAGCGCGTCTTGTTCTCTTCCATAATTGTGCGTAGACTGAGCAATGGGAGTCTTGACGGTTGGTGCGGAAACAGTGCGATGTTTACTGGTGTCGACTGACGAAGTCTCTCGACGACCCTCCGAGATGGATGGCAAAGGAATGGCGTCTCTGCCCCACTGCGTGCTGTATTGCGAGTATATCGGAGCAGAGACAATTCTCTGGTCATTGTCTGCTTCAAGGTCATCAGAGGTCAACAGATTGTCGAGGTGTTCCATCATGCGATTCACATGTCCAGGCGACTCATCAATCAAATTCTCCCGTTGAGCAGTTCTCCTCTTTGCCATCCTGATTTCGCGAAGAACGGAGTCTGTAGGTGGTGGTGCTTGCGGCAGTGGTCGGGCATCCCACTTGTGAGAGATGCGATGGGCTTCATTGCTTCTGAGCTCAACTGGAGTAGGTGTAGATACAGACAAGGAACTGGACCCTGTGACATGTGAAAAGTCCAACATACTGGGGCTCAAGGTTGATGGCTCCATGCTTGAGCTTCTATCAGCCGGATCATCTGGTGACAGTAGGGAACTGTTGAAAGCTTGGTCACAGTCCTCTGCAATGCTATGACTTAACTGCCGAATCTCGTCATTACCGTGCCGGTGAGGGTGTGCCAGACTGGGGATGATCAATGACTGAGTATGGGTTCCAGATCGCCCAGCAGCCTGGCCAGAGGCCATTCGAGGCTGTCTACAAGGGCTCGCAGGAGACTTGTGATCCCTATCATAGGTTGAATCATCACCAGCGATACTTGCTGGTCCCTTCTTCAGGCCTAGTTGCTCTCGAGCCACAGAACTTCCAAGCTGGTGGTTGAAGTTGACTCCACGTCGTGTGCGCGACGCCGGCCGTTTGATTGAGCTGCTGCCTCCACTCTTGATAGAAGTCAGAGAGCGCCTAGAAGCTCTCATGGCGGCATTGACGGCAAGGTGGCCGCCACGACCACCTCGTCTGGAGTATGTAGAATTGCTCCTCATTGAACCAGTTCTCATACGGTCAATATTGGAGGCCCGAGTCGAGCTCCTTGTCATGCTCCCATTTCGGTGAACAGTGATCTTCGCATGGCTAGCAGCTGGCCCATCTAGGATACGTGAGGCCTTGTAAGGATCGTAGCTACGTATGGTGGCACCATCAGTCACCGAATCAATACCATTGTCGTCGGTCGCGACGTTTGAAATGACGGTAAAACGCGATGGCGTCCTGCCATGCCGAGCAGGGAATTCGAGGGTTGTGAACTTCTTGGTCCAATTTGCCGGTCGCAAAAGATGGTAGTCGCTTGCAGAAGAGGTCAAATCGCCAACGTAATTTTCCAGGCGCTTTTCACGGTAGTTGAACAGTAACCAGTAGAAAAGCTTCTGGTCGTTGGGTCTTTTACAGTCAGTTGATTGAAAGGCATGGAGGTGGTAGATGAAGTACTTACTCGTCTTCGATTAACTTCGCCGCCAATTGCTTCTCATTATACGTGTGCCACATTGATTGAAGTTGACGTAGAGTCTGCATGTCAATGTCCTGCGGTGCCAGGCTAGTCTCTCTTCCATACTTGCGAATGTCATTGAGATTGTCATCGTGGCGTTTTCCATTCAGGTCGTCGAGGTAGTTGTACGAGACAATCAGATCGTGCTTCCATATCTGTGAGATGGTAATGCGTTGAGACGGGTTTGGCCTGAGGAGTTTTCGGAGCAGATCCTTCGCACCAGGGCTGAGATGTTTGGGTTCGGGATAAACAGCTTTCTTGGCCTTGAGAAGAAGCTTGTTCATGTCCGTGTCGTCAAATGGAAGACAGGCGCACAGGCAAGCGTAAAGAATGACGCCCACACTCCAGATGTCGACCGTTGCACCAGAGTATCCGTTGGACTTGCGGTCAACAAGTTCAGGTGCAGCATAGTGTGGGCTTCCACAAGCAGTTCTGAGCTTGTGCGTTGGACTTTGCTGTATAGCCGCCATACCAAAGTCGGCAATCTTGACCTGTCCACTCTTGGTGAGCAGAATATTCTCCGGCTTGAGATCTCGATGGCAAATGTTGAACGAGTGGCAATAATCGAGTGCGCTGATGATTTGTCGGAAATAGAATATGGTTTCAGGCTCTGGAAGGCTGCCCATTCGATTAATGTAGTCGAAGAGATCACCGTTTTCGACAAATTCCAGGACAAGGTAGCTGTAAGCATGTCAGCATTTCGAATAGGAGAGATTGTTGTGGTCTGTATCCTACATTTCGGAGCGGTTCTCCCAGATATCATAAAGCTTCATGATATTGGGATGGTCAATCAGCTTCAGGATGGCGACTTCTCGCTCGATCGACAAGGGCATGCGCTTCTCCGAATTGAACTCGGGCTGTCTGCGATCCCAGTCATCTACCGCTGCCAAGCTACCAGCCTGGGTCATTGCATGGCCATGCTTGGGCATGATTTTGACCGCTACCTGCTCTCTAGTGAGGTTGTGTCTTGCCAGTCGGACTCTGCCCGCTGAACCCTTTCCAAGAGTTCGACCGAGCTGCCAGGGTCCAATGTGCGTCTTTCTCTTCCCACTGGACGTGCCACTCGAGGTCGACGCCTGAGAACCTCGCTTGTCAAGATCATTCTCGTCCTTGGGAACAGGCGCATGCTTCGTGGCCATCTCGTGGGGCTGGGGCTTGACACTTTGATGAGCAGATCTTGCCGCCGCTTCGGGTCGCGAAGGATTGGGGTAAGTGTTCTCGGACCGACTTGACTTTTTGCCATGTCTCATTGATGCATTGACGACGCGGTCATTGGCATCAGCGAGGGGGGCACGCGAGGTCCGAGATTGGGGCGCTGGTCGCGAGGCCATGACGCAAAACGTCCCGTCGCGTCAAGGGTGTATCAGAGCCAGAGCGCGCGACCAGAGAAGACTTGAAAGAATGAATGGACTTAGGTGGTTTGAAAGAATCGAGCGATAAATTGGTCAATGGAAAAGGAGACCAAATGGGTGTGCAGGATAGAGTTTGGGGCAAACGAGGGCAGAATGGCGCGTGTTGCAAGTGAGTGTGGGAATCGTGCAGAAAGTGCGATCTTGGCCGACTGAATGAGAAGGATGAAGGAGGAAGGGCAAGGCACAGGATCTGAAATGAGTGACAGAAACAACTCAGATACCTAGAGGTGCCATAATGATGGTGATTTTCGAAGGTGACGAAAGGAAGAAGAAGATCTTGCGTTGTGGTGTCCCTGTTGTGTCCAGGGTTGGGATGTGGGTGTTGAGAGAGGGGGAGGGACCTCGTAGCTTCAATGCACGAAACACTGGCCACCCTCTGACTTTCTGGCTGGCCACGAATTGGAGCTCGAAGGGCGACGAGCCACTTTTTTTTGTATCATGGTCTGAAGAATATGAATATTTCATGGACAAATGCATTTGAATAATGTCAATTGCTTTCTGGCCGTGCTCAGTGAAGGAAGAGGACCGGGACCTAATAACACTCTGTCTCGCTCATTCAAGCATCCACATTGCTGACAGAGTGTCAAGTTACATTCATGGATTCGAAAGGAAGGCTGATATTTGCAAGATATTTATGTCAAAGGCGAGTCTAAAGGCTACCTAGGTAGATACATTGTATAGAACAGAATACTTGTGGAAGGTTGATGCTTTCATGAAATGTATTTGGTATTGGCATGTTGTGCAAATCATGCAAAGGCATAGTCTCACTCAAATCCTTGTCTCCCAAGTTACCAATCAAGCTTTCCCGATGAAAAATGCGTAAATCCATAAACTATACAAAGTGATGAGCTCTTGTCAGTCTGCCGTGTCAAAGCAGATCTGTCTTGATGATACCAGTCGGCAACTACCTAGGTACATGCCCAAGTGCATCTTTGTGTGATTAGAGGCATTTTATACCGGCTACGGTTGGCTGCAAAACATATGAGCTGAAGATAATTGATCATTCAATGGTGCGTATCTGCAATGTTGTACTGTTGGCATTTCATTTGGCGAAGTTTGACAGAGCTTGGAAAAGCTGCGTGCTTGTACAGCATAAGTCACAACCAGTCGGTCATGCTTTTAAGTTGCTCAACAAAGCCTTCGAACATGCCAACATCACTATTGAATATTTCTTGGACATCGAAGCGTACTATTTTCTTTTTCTTCTTTTTCTCTACTTTTTTGTGTTGGTTTGGCAACACGAACTTCATGACGGCCTTCCATCAACCACCTAGTGACGACGACTTACATCGTATAAGTCGGCAGGGTCTGGTCAACGGTCAATCTCGTTGATGCTGCCCCACATCTGCTGCACCTTGGAACTACACTAACCCATCAGGCTATGTACTCTGTACCCCCACTCTACTGCCTAGCTCTGCGCACTAAATTTTGAGCGCGATCCACAGTCGCAATTGCTGTCAATCAACGCGGTGCGCGTCTCCAGAACCCCACGCGTCAAGTGTACCTGAACCGACAGTAGAAACTCACAAACCTCCGATCTAGAGCGCCTGCCGGCCGACGATGCTGCGACACTTCGACGTTCTCGTCAACAGTCCTCAGGCTTAACAGCTCTACATCTTGCATAGCCTTATTCGGCTCTGATTCCACGCGCCAATCATCATGGCCTCCCGACGCCGCTCGAGATCCGTATTCGAGGAGGAGGAAGAAGACGCCGCTCCATCGTCCGGTGCCGAAGTGCCAAAACGCCAAAGGCGCGATGACTCTGACGAGGAGGAGTTGCAAAATGGAGACAATGAGGAGGCGGACGAGGCAGACTTCACTAAGTATGAAGAGGATGAGGAAGACAATCACCTGTCGCAAATCAACCTGCGTACTCCGCCCAACGAGTACTCGCCGGGAGCTGTCGTACGTGTCAAATTGGTCAACTTTGTCACCTATGAAAAGGCCGTCTTCTATCCAGGTCCCAATCTCAACATGATCATCGGCCCCAATGGTACAGGCAAGAGTTCGCTGGTGTGCGCCTTGGCTTTAGGTCTCGGATATCCGACAAATGTTCTAGGTCGAGCCACCAAATTCAGCGAGTACGTTACCCATGGTAAAAACTCGGCTGTCATCGAGATTGAGCTACAAAAACTCCCAAACGAGCGACAAAACCACGTCATTCGCCTCGAGATCACTCGAGAGAATAATAACCGACGTTTCTTCCTGCAGGGCAAGGACACAAGCCAGAAAAATGTGCAAGCACTCGTGGCACGGTTACGAATTGCCTGCGACAACTTGTGTCAATTTCTCCCTCAAGAAAAGGTCGCCGAGTTCGCCGGCCTGAGTCCCGTCCAGCTCCTACACGAGACTTTGAGAGCTGCTGCACCTGAGCAAATGATGACATGGCAGACACAGCTCAAGGAAGTGTTCAAGGACCATAAGATGGCCAAAACAAGGGTCGAAACCGATGCCGATCAGCTAAAGAACCTCCAAGAGCGTCAGCAAGGTCTCCAAGCGGATGTTGACAGGTTAAAGGAGCGAGAGAATATCAACAACAAGATTGAGGATATGAAGAATGCGCGCTGCTGTGCCGAGTACAACATTGCCCGCGATCGATACCAGGCACTGAAAAGGAAGAAGAAGGATGCAGAGAAACGCCTCAAGGCCTTGGAGCGCTCCGCTGGACCTGCGCTTGAGGCCGTCAATGACAAGGAGGAGTATCGTGGCCGGATCGATAGGGTTCTAGAACATCGCAAACGTGCCCTCAGGGATTCCGAGAGTGCCGCTGAACAAGCCTCTCGTGCCGTGGAAGCAGTCGAGGAGAAAGTCACAGAGACGCAAAACAGTATTGAGAATGAAAGAAAGGCTTTTGGCGATAAGAAGACCGAGATTGGCAAGATCCGTGCAAACATCAACAAACAAGAAGCCGAACATCGAAACGAGCCACCCCCTTTTGACCCTGTCGAATGGAATCGAAAGATTGTGAGTCGCCCGCCTGCAATGACGAGCCAGCGAAACTAATCCCCAATGTCAACGTGTAGCGAGAGAAGGAGCATGCCATGCGAGAAATGCGTACCGAAATAGGCGAAACAACGGAGAGGAGGGATGATGTCAAAGTACGGGGCAAGGAGGTCGTCGTCGATCAAAAGTCTCTCCAAAGGGAACTTGAAAAACTAGACTCGCAAGAAGGCCAAAAGGCGAGTCGCCTCAAGTCACTCAACCACGAGGTCTATGAAGCTTGGGAATGGCTTCAGGGCAATCTCGACAAGTTCGGAAAGGAAGTATTCGGCCCACCAATGCTCACCTGCTCGCTGAACGACGAACGCTACTCGAAACACGTCGAGTCGCTTCTGCAGAGGAACGATTTTCTGTGCTTTACTTGTCAAGATAAGAAGGATCACATGGCTTTGAGTGAATTCTTGTATAAGGAAAAGGGACTTTCTGTCACCATTCGAACATGTCTCACTGACTTTGAGTCGTTCAAGTCGCCTGTATCACCAGCCGAAGCCAGCGCGCTTGGCTTCGACGGATTTGCCATTGATTTTCTAGAAGGCCCGAAACCGGTTCTCGCGATGCTCTGTTCCGAGAAAAAGCTACACATGGCTGGCGTCGCCTTGAACGAAGTTAGTCGTGAGCAGTTCAACGCTCTCCAGAACAGCGAGAGGATCAGCAGTTGGGCTACAGGCGACACATTTTTCCGTGTAGTGCGGAGGAGAGAATATGGTCCAGATGCAAAGACGACGAGTACACGACAGATTGCTCCGGCCGTATATTGGACAGATTCACCAGTCGACACTTCCGAAAAGGCCGACTTACAGAGAAGACTCGGTGAGAAAGCCGTACAGAGAAGAGACCTTGCGAATGAATACAAAGAACTCGACAAAGTTGTCACAGCCCTCCTGGAGAAGAGTGATACACTGGAAGCTGAAGTGGTACGTCTGAATCCGCATGGAATTGCCGAATCTTACTAACTTAAGAATAGACACAATTGAAATCGGAAAAGTCTGAGCTGCAAACCGTTCACACGCGCTGGCAGACAATACCGGATCAAATTGGTGAGTTGCAGGAAGCGTTGATCAGTTTGTCCCTATTCCTACTGACTCTGGCCAGAAACAAACAAGGCGAATCTTAAACGAGCACTAGCCACGATGCAGGAGTGCAAAGCACGGGTTGCACAACACGAACGGAAAAGAGATCAGCTCATAATCGAAAAAGCGATGGCTGTGCTTGACCACAAGGATAAGATCTCACAGATTCGAGATGCCTATTTGGACGTGCAGGATGCGCATTTAAGGCTCATTGAGGCAGCGTCCGACGTCAGAGGATTAAAGGAGCGCAATGGCGATATTACCCGAGAGCTTGACGACAAGAGGCAAGAAATTGCAAACTATGCCAATGATGTCCAGCTAGAGCGCGAGAATGCTCAACGGGCACAGGAAAAGGTTTCCCTCATTGTCTCACAGGGAGGAGAGGGTGACCTCGAGCGTTACGAAGTCATGGTTCAAAACAAGACCCTAGATGAAATTGACGACGAGGTCAACGCTGAGAAAGCCAAGCTCGAGCTGATTCATGCGGTCAACCCCACGGTCCTCCAGCAATTTGAAGAGCGAGCCAAGAAGATTGCCGATCTGACAAAGGAGGCTGAGAAGTGGGGACGCAAGCTCGATCGGCTTGATGCACAATCTAAGGAGTTGATGGTCAAGTTCGAACCACAGCTTGAGAGGATCGTCTCAAAAGTCAATGAAGCCTTTGGGAAGAATTTCGAAAGGATCAACTGTGCTGGAGAAGTTAGTCTCCACAAGGACGAAGATTTCGAGCAGTGGGCAATTGAAATCAGAGTCAAGTTCCGGTAAGTATTTGCCCTTATTCCCCACATCTTTTGTATCATGGTTTTGTAACACGTATATGCGCAGTCCCAACGAAGAACTCCAGCTGCTCAACCAACATCGACAATCAGGTGGTGAACGTGCCGTGTCGACAGTGTTTTACATCATGGCCCTGCAGTCCATGGCGCAGGCTCCATTCCGTGTTGTCGACGAAATCAACCAGGGCATGGACCCGCGCAATGAGCGCATGGTGCATGAGCGAATGGTCGAGATTGCATGTAAAGAGCATACAAGCCAGTACTTTCTCATCACGCCAAAACTTCTTACCGGTCTGGCGTATGATGACAACATGCGTATCCTATGCATCGCCAGCGGCATACATGTGCCCGAGAATGGCCACAAGCTGGATATTGATAAGCTGATACGTCGTCAGCGTGCAGCCAAGAGTGGCCGTGTGAGCGCATGAGTTTCTCATGTCGGTCTAGGAGGAGGGAGTGATGCCGTGGTGCTGGATGGGCAGCAGGGTGTTCGTGAAATGAGCGAGGATAAACGTCTACTAGTTGTATGTATACAAAAGGTATGCACCCCTTGCTGCTTAATGAAATTATCACGGGCTGTATCTGTTTGACATGGCTCGTAAAACATTGATGATTGTTCTACATACTCCCACTTGCATGCTCACGAGTATATATTTCAAGTTGCTAGATGCTCTACCTAATTTGTATCGACAGCTGCGAATGGCATATTCATTGTTGCAACTTCCGCCCCCTCTAGTAAACCCAAAGCGCGACGTATTCATGGCGCTCAGTCCCTCCCGGGACACAAGCTCGCCCTCTCCTGCGTGGAACGCATAGTAGCGGACCGGTACTGCTCGGCGTCGCTCTAGCACAGTCGAGTGACATGAATTGATGTATGTGCACATACCGATTTGTGGCCTAGGCAAGACAGTGCCGTATACCATGCCGTATTCATAGTCTAGGCGCGTAGTGCTTGACCGGGACGGAGACGTCCGGCAGGATACGAATGGATAGACTTACGAATGCGACATCGGTCCGGAGGGTGTGCTCCCTGTACGGTCCTAGCCGGTCTCTGACAGAATCTAGCCGTCATTGGCACCTGCGTTGGAGGTCCCGACCAGGAAGCAAACACCAAGGAAGCTGAGCTGCGCAGAGTCGTCGTAGTTTCTGCCCCGAACGGTACCCGTGCTGTACCTGCTGAGTTTACAAAGCTAGCAGGTTCGCAAAACTCAAGTGGCTGTTGTGATTTGAGAAATCGCACCTGAAGCAGCTGTCGATTCCGGCGGGGAGATGAGCTGGTCTTTGGGAAGCAGCAGGCGGAATGCTGCTACTCGCCTGAATCTGACATCCGCAATGAGACTGCAACGGCGAGAGTGCTATCGAAAGCACATTCCTTTTCAAACACAATCGAGTGTTTCATTAAAGGCCGCACCTCCCATGACGCCCCCATTTGTTTCTCAAATATTCTCACTGCAGTCACCCAAGATGCTGAGAACAAATGTCGATTCGTTCGCCATTTCGTTGCCATAATCTCCGCACAAGATTGCCCATCAAGCGAGATTCCAGACATCGACAAATCTAATTTTGATCGTACTGTACAGCTCTGCAGATGAATTTATCAACTTAAGCTCTAATTCCATGGCATTGGGCATGACATGTGCGAATGAAATACTTCCTCATGTTTACATTGATGGCCAAACTTGGGACTGGTCATACCTACCTACCTCCTACCTACATACATCAAAGGTAGCGCTTCTTTCACACCTATCTAGGTACTCATTGGTCTTTACTGACTGCCTGCTCGATAGGATGACAAGCTCAGTCCAAGTGCCTTCTGTACTCGCGGACTGCAGACTTGGAAAGCGCGTTTGACGCGACTGCCTCGAAACCAATAGTGCGACAATTCCTGCCCACCATGCCAGGTACTTTTTTAATAATTCCGCGGCTTGATGAATTCTTCCCTTTTCTTCTTTTTCTTTCCTTCCCCACGCCCAAGACTCTCAAGCCAAGATTCTCAAATGATCTGTCATTGACATCACGGTTTACCGCACAATTGATAATAGAATACCACTTCCTTCCCCTACGTCTGCAATGAGTACCACCAACTCAGAGGTCAAAAAAGAAGACGAAGATGTAGATGAGGAGATCATCTCGCAAGCGGCTGCCTCTCAGATGGCTTCTAATGTGAAGCCGGAGCTTGAGCTTCGTCTGGATCATACGCCAGTGATCAAGAAGGAGTACAAAGACATACCGGAAGGAATCATCTCACATGCTCCAGCCTCCGAAATGGCTTGCAATATCAAGCCAGAGGTTGAGCTTTCTCCTGATCGTAAGTACTTTTCTTCATCTTCTGGCTCATCGTAGCTCAGACCATATTTGAACCGTCAGTCTTCATGACAAATACCTGCGCCACACCTTGACGATATAATTACTGACTTACTCATGCAATAGTCAAGCCGAAGACCACCATCTCTACCTCTCAATACCGAGATACACCGACACGTGGTAACAAAGTGAACAAACACGAGCGACGTGTCTGTTACAATTGCAAGCAGCGAGGACATTTGGCTCGAAACTGCCGGAATACCAGCGTCATACACCATACAGTTGTGTCCCAAGGTAGATACCTGAGCACAAACCCACGCACCCCGTTCGGGCTGTACTAATAATTACAGGAGGTGTACAGCACCATTACTCTCATGTAGCGAACACCGCTTCCACCACGCCTAGCCGTGGTGATGTCAACATTTATGGCAGAAATGCTGACATCACCAAACACTGTGGCAGTAATACCACGAACGTGTTCGGTGGAAACGGGGACATCACCATCCATGCCGGAGGTGGCATTGTGAACATTTTCGGTGGAAATGGCGACATCAACGTTTACGGCGGAAGTAGTGCCACGAACGTCTTCGGTGGAAATGGAGATATCACCATCCACGGTGAGAGTGGTACCACAACCATTCTCGGAGGAACTGGCAATATTATGATGAAACGAGGGGGCCGCATAGCGAAAATCTCCACTGGGCTTGGTCGTATTACCGTAAACGGCGTCAGTATGTAGGCTTCCTTGCATGCCGGTATCACCAGTTGGAATTGAACATCAACAGGCATATACCAGAAGAGGCGCATCTTTAGGGTTGTCGCACTGTAGTTTACAGAGGTTTTAACCATAAGTCGTGTTGCTTGCTTAGGTCAGCTCCATATTTTTGGTACTATATTGACGTATGATGAACTACAACCACGACCATCCATGGCCGCAAAAGCATCAGCAATAATACAGTAGTATGGACTCTGCTTATAGCTGGTCAGATGATGACAGGAGGTACCAGTAGCACCCTGCGGACAGTGATGATCATTTAGCAAAGCTCCAGCGCCACTTTCACAATGCGAACACATGTTAAGACGGGACAGATTGCTGGGTTCTCGCTTGTGCGCGTTGGTATTTCAACATTGATCCAATCGAATATGACACTCCTCTGCGCTCGACAAGGAGAAGTAATCTTGACGTCTTGGCTTTCGAAAACATGGTCCTTGAGTGGGACTCCTTGGAAGTTCGCTCTCAGGCTGAGCGCGCCCCAAGCAATTACCAGTCAGCATCGGCTTGTTTGCGGGCCCGAAAACAGATACCGGGACCATGACTGCCAATATGAGTCATGGCCAATCTTGGTATCTTGAATTGTGGGAGTTGGAGTTGTCAGACAGTAAGAAATGGGCTCCTCACGCACCTATACAGTCTCAATTGATGGCTGTTGGTTTCAACCAAGGAATACATTTCTCAAATTCTCACCAGGTAACATCTAAGGCGCTATGTTTCACAAGAATAGGGAATCTGTGGTATGTATCCTGTCCTCAATTTCGATGTGAACTGTCTAAAGAAGCCACATAGATTCAAGATTCCATACCATCTACAGATTCACCACCCAAGGAGGCTTTGTGTTGCGTTCTGATATAAGTTTCTTGACTACGAACCTCGCAATCCGACTTCTCAGTCGTATCCAGCGTTGCAAGGCGACAATCGTAAACGCAGCCGCCTAGTCCCGTATTTGTCCCTGCCCGTAATATCGCCATTCACCGACGTAGGCTGGGGTGCTCCCGTTGCGCCCGTTGGTAGTCGCATAAACCCCGACGCGTGTCCCTAATTATTGTGAGTCATGCTATTCTATTCATCAGATACTGGCATCTCCCTTACCAGTATAGATTGTTCTCAGGGAGCCAGTTTTGGCGTATGCAACGGGTTGTTCCTGGGATTGATGCAGCTCAGGAGCTGCCGATAACGCGTACTGTGTAGAGTTGACTGCTTTGATCTGCAGTCGTATCAATTGTTAATTCCATCCGTCGGGAAAAGGAAACAGGGTCTCCTCGATCTCGGCAGTCTCGCTCTCGCCGCGGAACCGAAAGAATGACGCAAGCGGTGAGCCGGTTCCATTGTTTACGCTGCTGCCAGGCAAAAGGACAACACCCAATTCGACATGGTCATCTTGAGAGATATACAATGTGACGCCAGCTTCCTCATCGATCTGCTGCGGTTGGAAGTCTACCACGGCTGAGAAGCTGAATAAGGTTTCTGTTTGTCGCCGAGCAAGCAGCGTGGGTCCGTTGGGCGGCACGAATCCAAACTCACCAGTCAAATTCTGAAACGAAGGTATCAGTCGCAGTGTATTCTCGTGTCCGGGCGGAGACACATGGTAGGACTGCTTGTCAGGGAGATGCTGGTATATGAAATGTGCCGGTATCGACGAGTTGGGGGCGAATCAATTATGTCCGGCTTGGATATAGTATCGGTGTCAGACTCTGGGCACTGTACAGCCGCCTGTAGTGGCCATCCTGACATGACGCCTCGGACTTGAGTGGCCACTGGCCAACCTTCAGCTGACCACGAGACGGGATATAGGACAGTCTCCCTGCCCATCGGCACGGCGAGATTGACCAAGTCGGCTCTCATGGCAAGCGCCACTCCCCACCAATTTCCGTTGGCGTCTGGGAACAGGTCTGCGTGTCCTACGGCCTGGATGTATTCAGTCGTGTTTGCGTTAGTAAGGACCGGGTTCCCCGGAAAGGACTCGTAGGGGCCCGTGATTGCTTCGGATCGAGCGATGATGGCCATGTGGTCGAGGAAAGTCCCTCCTTCGGCAGCCACCAAGTAGTAGAAGGCATCCTTCTTGAGCATGCGCGGCCCCTCGAGAGACGGGCTCCCTGTGCCATTCCATACATTGATCTGCAGGCCAATCTCGCCTGTCTCAACGTCCAGCGGTGCCAGAAACATTCCAGGACGAGAATTCATATCTCCCGCACCAAGCATATAGAACTGTCCGTCATCATCCCAGAACAGACTTGTATCATATCCGTTAAAATCAAACCGAGTCACGTCAGACCACGAACTTGAGTCGTACGGGTTGCGTGCTGTGAAGAGGACATTGTTCCACCGTGATGCATCCGAAATGTTCTTGGTGTCGTCAACAACCGTAGTGCTCACGTAAAAGGTGCCATTGTGATAGCGAATGGTTGGCGCCCATATCCCGCCTGTTTCTGAAACCTCGGTGGTGAACTCGGGCAGCTGCGAGGGCCGGTTCAAGACACTACTTATCAACGTCCATGTCTGCAGATCCTGGCTCGCATAGATTGGCAGTCCAGGAAACGCTAGAAAAGTCGAGGTGACGTAAAAGAAGGTTTGGTTCCAAGATTCCACAAAGATGCAAGTAGGATCTGGATGAAAGCCAGGCAGGATCGGGTTGGTGTAAGTGCTGTTGATGTCTTCGCGAGCCGAAGCTGCGGAAGTGGACAGAGCCCAGGCAGCAAGTATGGCGATAGAGTATAGTTTCATGACTGCGCAAGCTCTCTGAGTTGGAATAGTGGTATCAGTATTGGTTCTACCGTGTGAATGCTACGAGGAGTAGCTCATGGTATAAGCGGTGCATATATTCGAGCGACAAGCAAATACGTCAGTGTTTCAATTGACTATGTAGCTTGAGGAGCAACCACTATCTCGTCAGTCAATAACCCGAGCTCAATATTAAGCTGGGTTTCTATTTTGCTTTCCGCGTGCCCGATGCCGATTGATTCCCTCGTGGCCGAACCAGTTGTAGCGTTTCTCGGGGTTTTCGGGTTCCGGTAGAGCTCTCGGATGAGCCTTGTCTTGACCTTGCTACTAAGGTAGCTCCTAAGAAGGTATAGTCTCTGCAGAAAAGGGAGTAATATAAGTATATTCGAAGCGTTGGCCAAGTACGTACGACTATAGGTTCCAAAATACTCGGCATCCCGTCCGCTTTGCCCTAGATGAAATGGAAACCGTCTTGTTCTCTGTACCTAGGTCGGCAACGCGCCCACTTTATCGAGCCCTTGCGCACGCTTCAATCTCAAGTTGTTCTCTACAGAGTACCACTTGAGCAGGTATGATCGCTCGAATGCCGTGCTGGTCAGACAGTGCTGATGGTTTTATCTAGAACAAGTTTTACGCGTCAGCACATACCTATGTAGGTATGCATAAGTTTAAAGTCATTTAAAAGTTGGAAGAGCATGCGGCATGCATGTGGTTCATTGCGCTGTGCGTACGCGCTATTGGTTGTGGGGCTCGACCATGGCGCGTGGGTTGTTGGCGTTGATGCATACCAGGTACCTACTGCGCTGGTCCAATCAGTCTCGGCTTCCCCATGCCGCAACTGGCAGAACGGTTATACAATTTTGCAGGTTAGTCCTTTTATTCTTTTAAACCATTAACGGAATACTAAATTTCAAGAACGTATTTAAAACATGGGAGTTGTGATATTTCTTTGGCATTCTAGGGTCACGTCTTGTGTTTCATTGCCTGGAAATTGATCCCGCATGCAGGTTGGTACAGCGGTTGGCCCATAACGGCCCACAAGCCCCTGGCCAACGCTTTTCACTTCCATCGTCTCAACCTCGGACAACGACACAGCTGTTGCATCAATACGGCGGAAGACAGTGCGCGCAAAGCTCTATTCTGCACCCAAAAGCATGGCCTGCGCTATCACTTTTGCCTATTTGACCCGAGTCCTGCAGGTTTTACTGCTATTTAACACGCGGCCATCTTTTGCATTCTCGCATCGTGCTGACGGGGACAAGGCCAGGGTCGCGGACCTGTCAACGTCGTCGGACAGAATGTTTCCAATCGTACCAGATTATGTGACTAGCCATGGTAAGAGCTCACCATGCTCCATCAACAGTATGCTTCAATTATGCTCGGCACTGTGGTTTCGGGCGGCCTGTGTTGGAATGCAATACTAATCTATACACTTTACAACACAGCACCGCTTGTGCGACTGCATTCGCAAGATTCGGTTCGTCCATCTGACATAGCCCAGCACCTGCAGCACACCACACCCATGCTGAAGATGGCCTCCGTAGCCGGTTTGCCTGAGCTCGACCTGGATAACCTGGGTTTGCTGAATGTGATGTCCGAGGGCGCTGAAAAAGTTGCACTCACTGCCATTGATGATATTATAGATCTGCCCGTCTGGCTGAGGGGGGAGACACCCGATGAAATGGGAGCACTACGTAACTCTACTGCTTGTGTGGTGATCCTTGTCGGATCCGAGAAGGATTCTAGCGACTTTGATGCATTCTACTTTTATTTCTACTCGTACAACCGGGGCCCTAACATCACCCAGGTATTAGCACCTATCAAGGGTCTAATTGAGGACAGTCTGGAAGGCGGCATGCATTTCGGAGACCACGTTGGGGACTGGTAAGTATTCATTACCGCCATTCCATCCACTCTTAGGCCACTGCCATTTACTGATGATTATCTGTGCCCAGGGAGTATAATATGGTTCGCTTCCGTAAAGGGCGGCCTACTGGACTCCATTTCAGTCAGCATTCCGATGGAGCTACATATGACTGGGACGACCCAAGTCTATCAAAAGATAACGGACGGGTGCGTCTGCATCATCGCTACATTTTAAATGTCATATAATGTTAACATAAAGATAGCCTTTGGTATACAGCGCATACGGCTCTCATGCAAACTACATATCTGCCGGGTAGGTCTGCTGCGACACGTTTATAAAAATGAATTCCAACTAACGCATTCATGACTTTAGGGATCACGTCCATGATTCTGTGTTACTCGACTACTGTGATGCAGGTCAATTATGGGACCCAGTTTCCTCGGCATACTTTTATCATCTGGAGCCTGTCACTTTTGAGCTAACTCGAATGTTCTTATTCGATCCACCGAAAGAGTCCAATCTCACGTCGTTTGTCTACTTTTCCGGTCTCTGGGGCGATCTACAGTATGAAGATGAGGATACTCGCCAAAGCACGGTTCCGTATTTTGGCTTGAAACGCTACGTCTCTGGTCCATCAGGTCCAATTACAAAGCACCTCGTAAGAAGAGGACTTTTCCCTGACCAACGTGAGAGAAAGTCCTGGTTGCAATGGGGTATTGGCATTTTCATGTCACTATACCCTTGCTGCCTACGTGGATGGAAAGCGTGGGCATCGGGCACAATGATCATTGTGATATTGATCGTAATAGTGATCATGGTTCGGTACGCTGTGAAACAGTCTCAGTTAAAGGGGCGAGGATACAAAAAGATCGAAAGTACTGAGGACATACCACCCAACGACATTGAGAACAGTGGATAAAGGGCGACATGATTTTACAGATACTAAATTTAAAATGATAATTCCAGAAATTAGAAGGTACAAGAATTTTCTAGCATTCATCTTGGTGAACATATATGTCTCAATAATGGGAGAATATCAATTCACACTTGTGGTGGCAGAGCGGGACCAGTCCGGAATGGCGCGGGAGGGCTGTATACGGGACAACCCGAGGGCCGTTGTTCTCCACCTCATTATTGGTACCATACTAATTGAGATGGGATGCGGCAATTACATGCGTCAAAATAAGCTTGCGCTTGGTTTGGCTTGAAATTTCTCGGCTTTGTATGTATATGTACTACTTGTGTATAAGCTCAGGACTCACTAACGTACCCCAGGTTTAGTTGGAAGGCGCAAATCTAGTACCATATGAGGGGTAGAAACAATAACGTTGGCAGCTATAGCTAGACCTTCTCTCTTCAGAATCAAATCACCACACCTCTTCGTTCTTGGAATCGTTTTCCATACTAGGCCGTGCCCATCAGGCGAGGAAGAACTCCCTCCAACCTGTCTTGGGAGCAAATGATCCTCTATCAAAGGCGCTCTGATACAACTTGGCCAGGCCTCTGCGACGGTGCATCCCGGAATCTGAATCTCTCTCAATGAGAAAAGCATAGTATAGATTCCACTCGGACGCCTCTCTCTCTTCAGGGACATAGTAGTTCCAAGTATCGAGCTCCTCCATGGAAAAGTCCCTCGCTTCCGAGACGGCCACAAACTCGCATATACCTCCGACGTGCTGGAACCACGACTTCTCGAGGACAATGGTGCCGCACCAATTTTGGCTCGAGTCTAGGATGCCGAATCTGTGCAGTCCTTCCTGGAGTTCCGGCTTGAAGGTATCTGTGGACATTGTTTTTCGCGAGAGCTGGAAGAAGCCTGACAGGGACCAGAAATGGAGACATTTTGGAGGTATTGGCCTACTTGGACTGATTGGAGGCTTTTCACCAGCTGAAGCGAGTCCATGACGTTGGTACACCATTTCTAAAAGCTGCCGAGATTGTGATGCTCTTTCTCCGTAGCCAGACCATCTACTGCCGCTTGTTTCGAGAGCTTCTGAGTCGGACGGTTTCTGGTCCCGTCCTGGGCACGGGGGCAGGGCATCTTTAACATCACTGTCATCATCACCCCATGACCACACGATCCAAGTGTGTTCGACCAGCCAGGATCTGAGGTTGTGGAGTGTTCCAGAAAGTAGTGACAAACGCCAATTCACACCTCCAGCCCTACAACACCAGGACCAGCTCGGAAACATATCCTTTCCGTCCAGGTAGGGGTTGGAAGTCCTCTCGTAAGAGCTTGAATCGCTGCCTGTCATATCCCACAACAACGCCCAATCAAAGTGAGTTAGGGGGAGACCGAAGAGGAACCTCGATTTGAGCTGCTGGCCTAGTGGACCTTCCAAACCTCTGAAGGCAATCAGTTTGTCTTTTCCGAACGTCAATTTCCTAGCACTATACAGCTCCACAGCCGAAGTGAATTGCCGTACCGGATTCAAAGACCAGAGAAGGTGGAGTGGCGACTCGACCATGTCCAAATTCCATGCACTCTGGGATGATTCCGAATCCACTTCTTCGGACCAGGTCGCCTGGCGACACTGGAAAAAGACTCGCTCCTCGACGAATACCAAGGACCGTGGCGATAACATGCGTTCTTGAAATGTCCAAGCTCTTGAGTTCCACTGTGTATATCGAATACGGCTTTCCACAGGCTTCACAGCTATCAGATCGAGCCCAAAACATCGTGTTACAAGCTGTTGTGTTGTGCGAGGCGTATGTACCGAGCCAGGCATGCCTCTGTTCGCATCGAAGCCGGCTGCCGCACAAATATTGATCTTCCCGCTGCTATATATATGTTCCATCAGAGGCGCCATTTTCTCCCAGTCTTCCTCATCGCCCTGGATGATGCAGAGCGCGTCGATCCAGACAAATCGTATTCCGAGTTTGTACACCACAGCCATGACATCGCGCAGGGTCCTTTGCATTGATTCAGAACGAACGGGCAGATGCCGTCTAAACTCGTCATAATTCGATCGGTAGAGCATGTAAGCCATTTGTGTAGCACCCCAAACATAGCTGGCCGTGGCATACTCGAACTCGTCAGGCATTTCGTGTGGTTCAACGATGCGTTCTTCTTGAAGGTCAATATAGCGGACCTTGGCCGCGAGACCCTGCATCTTGATCATGCGGGAGGGCGGCTTGCATGCTGCGTGATGCGTGCTATCGCATAGATCTAGCCAACGTTTTAATCTCTCGATATCCACATGGGTGTGTGGGATGAGGCGACCTAGGAATGAAGGCGAAGAATCAGCCTTGGTCCCTTGTAGGGCAGGCTTCAAGGGAACAATATAAGCATCTGGGAATGTGCCGTCTGGGTTGAATATGTGAAGCCGACGCGAGGGGTTTGTCGTTTGCGGCCCATGGTCCGATACAGAGTTCGAATTGTCATCTAGGAGACGCCCATCGAGTATCCAATCAACCATGCAGGCGATCCTTTTCCCTTCCTCTGTCAAGCCGTCCAGTCCGATTCGGAACTGTTCGCCCTGGGAATGCGTCGCTTCGAAGAGCAAACGACACAAGGGACAGGTGAGCCGCCTCTGATAGATCTCATCGAGATAGCCGAGACTGTGACAGTCGAGTCCCGATGGATCGAAAGTGTTGCCGAGGACGCCGGGCAACTGGCTAGGCCCCTCCGATTGAGCGGGAATGAATTTCTCAATGGTCAAATTGAGTTTTTCGCATCCTTGGCAGAGCTGTCCATTCTGCATTTCGATACCCGGATCACCACCATTCGCCATATCGTCGGCGATTCAAAGATTTGGGCCCCTGCACGCTCAAAGAGCGGGGTCCGGACTCAGGGGGTGAGTTCTCAAGCTCGCTCCGCAAAGGACTTTGTTGTCATTGACTGAGATGACGCTGGCTTTCCTTTTGAGGGATTTCGACTTATTGTATCTACCTGCCTACCTAGATTACGTATTTCAGTCACGAACCTGGTGCGGCTGAGGAGGATTGACGTCTGATATGGTGGGTGGTAGAGATATGACTGTGGGTATTTGTACCTCATATGCAGCCGCCGTAAACAGTATTCCGTAGTGGGGAACATTTTTCGGTATAGCCACTTTAAGCTCGCGTCACTTGCTTCCCTCTTCTTCGCCATCAAACACACACCACTTCTTTTTGTATCCTTTTCATCAACAGCCTGTCAGTGTACAAGACATAGCCCAAATGCCCCTTTCAACGTTTCCGCTTCACAACCCAGCGACTAAAATTGATAAAGCGATGGAGCGCAATACTCGACTTTTGAAGAACGCCAGCGACGGTCCCGTCGGCGCTAATAAGGCCAGTCAAAGAGATCCCGGGCCTCACCTGCTGTGCCGCATTAATTCACAGCGTAAGCTACGCAAAGATTATGAATATTTGAAAATGGGCAAGACCGTAATGCTTAGATTTATAAACTATATATTTTTTCCCATTGTGGGAGTAGCTTCTCAAACTCTAAAATGATCTGGGTATAATATCTCCTCTGCAGCATGGTATCCTTTAGCGAGTACTCTCGCAATCCAAGTCCAAAGTCACAGTCCAGACACATGCGGACGATGCGGCCATAGCTAGTTCCCATTTGATTCCCAGCCGAGTACTTGACCGTCAGCAGCCTCTCCGCCAAGGATTCTCCGGACCTAGATGAAGGTGCGTGCTTTGATAGTAGTGATATAATAGACTCGATGGGCATTTCGTACTCGAGCTCCAAGAGTATGACTCCTAGACCGAACAGAATTGGGTTTTTGATCCACGGGTCAGTATGTTGTTCACTGACAGTTTGCTTGGCTTTTCCCAGAACTGAGCCTAGTTGTTGAAAAAGAAATGGATTTGTGAGGCGGCAATCAGTCGCACTCGAGCTCCAAAATGATACGTCAGCCCGGGAGAATGCGTTTTCAAGCCAGGGTGTGGAGTGGTGGGCCAGGACAATCTTGGCCAGCTGGAACGCGAACCGCATTTTCTCGGCTTTGCTCACACGGTCAGAGTTCCTGACTTCAGTGTTATCTGGCTGCATCCAAGACAGGGTTGGCATAGCCATGCCGAACATCCTCCTTGCCGGTTTTACGAGCTGAACCGACAGATTTGTGGATTCAGAGGAGGCTAAACAGCCCACATGAGTCCTGGAATCGCTCGAGTCCGTGGTTCTCAAGGTGCACAAGGGCTCAAGGATTGGGCCGAGCATAATCTGCTCCTGTTGGGCTTTCGTCAATTGGCCTTCAAATATCACTTTACGGCCTCTGGTTTCCCCTCTTTCACGAACATCTCTGACTGGCGGCCTTGGAATCTCGTCGCCTTGATCGAATAGGTCGGAATTACTATCCGCGCTGCGAGGCTGATCAGCTGCCATGGGGCATGTAATTTCAAACGAAGTCGACTCCTGGGATTGACCGAGGGCAGAATTAGTCAAAACGAGGTCGAATGTGACGGAAGATTTCTGGTCCTGGTACCAGCTCGAAGATCCAGCCATGGATGGCGCCAATTTCAAGCTTGTTGAGTGAACTGGGTGCTCTGCACAAGACCACAGGTTCCCACAAGCATTTTGCAAATGCCGCGATACTTGATTCACCCTGCTAATCCTCGACAGCTCGACATCTATCGTGGGTCCGTCGTCGGGGAGATTAGGCCCAAGACCATGAAGATGACCGCGAGAGCGAACCAAGGCGTGAATGTCGAGGTTGAACGAGCGAAAGCGAGCGAGATCTCGGTGTTCAATGCGACCGAGTTGAGGCAGGATTACAGCCGCGGCATGTTGTTCGTAGTCACTAAGCACCGACCAGATGCGCCTCCCTGCATTGTCCTCTAGAGCCAAAGTCTGGTCTTGAGAGCATTGGAGCAATTGCAACAAATCAGCCGGGTCGTCATCTCGCGAGTATATGAACTGGTAAAGACTGTCTGCGCTGTCTTGAATGACTGACGAGAGGAGAAGAAAGCATTGAGTCTGGAACATAAGACGGAGGGTAGTGAGTTGCGCGGTAACTACCTTGGTGTGCGCCGGCTGGTCGTTGACAGCCTGATTATAGGCGCTAAGAATCCGCGTAATTGCAAGGATGACCAATACACCAGTGCCAAAGTCCTCCACGTAAGAGCTCACAGGCCGTTCCCAATCCATGTCCAAAAGCGTGAGGAACTTGCGGGCAGGATTGTGGCCAGAATCCATGTGCAAGGGCGCATTTGAAGATTTCACGTCTAGTAAATTTTGTTAGCAATCAGCGCTTGCTGTGCGATGAATAGATGTTACAAACAAGTCTCATCCCATGAAGCCAGTTGCCTCGCGCATTCTTCGATTTCCTTGGACACTTCAGCGGTATATTGAATGGTCGCCGACTGCATGATTGGCAATTTCATGAAGTCTGACATCTCAATGTCAGAAACGCCTTGAGACACTGAAAATCTAAAGTAACGCCGAGACCGTATGAGCTGATTGCAGTAGTGACTGCTCTTGAAAGCAATGTGCTTGGTGTTTGCATCTGTTGCAATTTTGGCGAGCGACGCAAGCACAGCGTGGAGACTATTCTTCTTTGGATCGAATCCCGGGCGAACCGAGATACCCGTGCCTAGACTGAGAAGGCAACCGACCTGCCGGTCTGGCCACAAGGATCGAGCTTCGTTCACGGCCTCTTCGACCGGGTTATTGGCCCTCACTGCGCCGTCCACAAAGGTAGCACCGCCTCTTCTCAGAGTTATGGGTTCAAAGAACAGAGGTGCAGCCGAAGTGGCGCGCGCGGCTTCCCAAATGCTACATTCGTAGTTGAACTGTCCTGGAGCGTTTGATCTGTAGGATCGGAGCAGTTGCACGTTTGATGAGTATGCGTCAACAGCGCAGACAAAGCTAAACGCAGATGTGTATATTATCAGTATCAAGCTAGTAGGGCAGATTTGCAGGAAAACATCGGGCAGGGATGGGAGCCTACATCTTGCACCGAGCATCGTCGGATTCGGATTCTCTCAGGTCAAGTTCGGGATCCATTTGTTTTTCGGAGAGCAGATTGCAGATTGCATCTTGGAGATTTTGGCCTCGAAACCAGTGACGGTTCATCTCTGCCCCCAGAACCTTGAGTACTGCAAAATCGGACCACCACTTCTTTTTGAATATGATTAGAGAGAGCTTCTTGTAGGCCTCGATAGCCTCTTCTATTGGCATTCGCAACCTCCCTAGCATAATAGCAATGAGACTGTCATATAGTCAGTGGAGCTCCCAGCCCAGAAATTCTACCGTTGGTAACACAGTCCAATTTAGGGCTGTAATGTGCAAAAAGTGGTCCAGTCACGTACTTACCCGCCAGTTGAAGTACCTGCGATCAAGTCAAAGTATTCATGTGGATGTACTTTCCTGCCAGTCACGGTTTCGATTGATTGGAATATGCTCTGTAGTAGCAAAAGAGACGTCAAACCCCGCACTCCACCGCCATCTTTCACCGTGGATTGCTTGTCAGCCCGCTTTGGTTTACTCATTTATTCCTTGGTCATACCTAATGATAAGATCCTCAGAGGAACTTGTTTTCGGGGCGGCATCTTTCTGTGAGAGGAGATGGACTATGCAAATCAGTCTCATTTGATGCGACCGTGATGAATGATGGTGGTGGTAACGGTGTGCAAGGTGTGGTGAGAGCATTCGCTATCTTGGTGGTGATAGTGGGGAGTCGGAAAGAGAGATTGCCGGGCTATCATAAGAGCTACGAATGACCAGGCCGTCAGCCGCATATGTACGAAACCTAGCCAATGGACTTCAGATTGTGCATGTAGGTATGCCATACCTATGCCCAACATTGCCTTAACAATCTCTTGCATTATGTAGTATGCTGTCAGAACGCCCGGTCTGTGCTTAGCCCCTCACAGCCAATGGATCTCCTCCAGCTGTTGGACTGCAGCACATTCCTCGGGTACAACTTTTCCCCACCTGCATTTTTTTTTTCCATCAGAGTTTCATAGCTAGGTTGCGTGGTTCATCACAATCAGCGAGGCTATCAAGACAACAGGGCTTAACCTCAAATGATTGCAGTCCAGTGATAAGCGACACTTTTCGATCATGGAGACCCTAGACGAAAATAACTCGAATGAGGAGAGGCTTGCGACAAAGCTTTTTCATGGCAGTATAGACCTCCTCTGGAATATCTTGCGGGCACGCTCACCTACAATCTCATCAGCGCCTGGGTCCGCAGGGGGAATCTCTCCTAGTCCACACAAAAATGAGGAATGGGAACAAATCAGACAGCTTTTGGAGACCTTGTACTTTTGGGGCCAGGGGTTTGCCCGTCGCTCTCGTCTTGATGCTATACTCGACCTATCAGCCCCATTGAAATGGCAGGTCATGTCTCTTCTTATCGATATCAGTCGAGCCATCATTTCGTTATTCGAACACCGTATGTTGTCCGTGTGAGCTTGGAAACAAGTTTCTGTGAAATGCTGATCGTCAAACAATTGAGACATAGGCATTTCTAAACCCGTGCATCCCGGTATTGGGAATGTACATCCTTCCAAGAGGAGCAAACGACAAGTCGAGTTAGCTTCCACTGTTGCCCGATGTATAGAGCTTTGGGGGGTCAATCTTACAGTCGGAAGTACAGAAGAAAATCTACACACGACTAACAAAGTACAAGATGAGTTGATCCTGGAGATTCGGATCTTCACTCAGTGCTTGATAGACTTGACGCCTTGCTTGGAGTATCCTGCCCCAGATCCACCTATAATCGAAGAAGAAGAAAGGCTTCATCGGGAAGTTGGGGGAGAAATTCAAAGCGTAGCCCTGCCGTGGTGCAGGAGAATCTTCGACATGTTCCCGGCAATCGATACGACTCTGGGAGAACATCTGGGTATACTAAATTGGAAGCGGTTTGATAGATGTCGCAGTTGGGCTGCCGACCCCGCATCAAAGGTCATCGTGGGAGGGATTCCAAAATACGGACCAAGCGAGACTATAGATCATGAGACGGCTCCTACCACTACAATGGAGGGCACAACCACTGGCCACCCTACTTCCACAAATACAGGAACAAATCTCGACACTGAGATCACAGCTCCGGATAATGACTTCGACGATCACTTCGAACCCCATCCCGGCAAAATGGGCAGGCGGGAGGAATTTGACTTGGAAACAGTTCTTACCTCAAGCACGCATATGGCAGGGACATTCAGAGTTCCTGACATGCCCAATGAAGATCAAGACGGAAGTAGGACCTGTTCAGTGTGCAAGAATCAACTGAGTCAGAGCGTCCAAACACGGACTGATTGGAAGTACGATAAAATGATTCCCCTCTCCCCTCATGTTCATCATTGGTTATTCCGGGGTTTGAAGGCTAATCTGTTTGATTCTTCAGAAGGCATATCTATCATGACCTTGAACCCTACACCTGTACATCTCCGGATTGCGCCACTAGTGGCGTTGATACTTTCAGCAATCGCCAGGACTGGGCCGAGCACGAGTTTCAGCACCATCTTGCCGAGAAAGTTTGGATGTGCTCGGCTTGCTCGGCTAGAATGTCGACAAAGGAAGCCTTCTCAAACCATCTCGAGCGTAATCATCCAGAATACACATGGGTCGAAGAGCATATTGCAGTCGAGCTCTCAGAGAACACAGGTCTGTACATTAAATCGCCACTCATTTGTCCCATGTGTAAAGTCACCTTGGAGCCGTCATTGCAGGTTTACGCCAAACACGTTGGAAGGCACCTGGAACAAATAGCACTTATTGTTGTACAGACTCAAAACATGGATGAGTCGTTAGAAGAGAACGATACCGGTACAGAGACTACCAGTTCGATCAGTTACGCCGAAGACGATGAGATGAACTCGCCTTTGGCACGTGGCGACGACGCGGCTGTGAACTCGCCTTTGGCACGTGGCGACGACGCGGCTGTGAACTCGCCTTTGAAACGTGGCGACAACACGGCTAAGCTTGATAACAGAGCTAGTCACGGCCAGACACTGACATCGGTATATGAGGCCGCGCCAATGGTGAGCAGTACACTAAACTACGAGAATGCTGCGATATTACCTGAGAAAACAAAGACTCGCAGGTCAATCTTGCGCAAGGTTGCCGTCCTGGGTTCCAGAAGTGCGTGCGAAATTCCTCACGTTTACATTTGAACGACTGTAGATGAAGTCTGACTTTTACCCCTAATCAAGGTGCTGGCAAATCATCGTTGGTGGTTCAATTTGTGGACGGCCATTATGTTGAAAGTTACTACCCAACCATAGAGAACACGTTCATCAAGAGAATGTGGAGAGGCGACCAAGCATACAGCGTAGAAATTGTCGATGCGGCAGGACAGGTATGTTGGATCTCTTTGGCCTCCCCTTGGAGTTCACCTTGGGAATATCCGCTGCTGACGAGAATGGGCTTTATAGGACGAATATTCCATCTTAAACTCCAAACATTTCATTGGTATCCATGGATATATGCTTGTGTACTCTGTGCGATCTCGGGCTAGCTTTGAGATGGTCCAGGTGATCCGTGAGAAGATCTTGAATCATTTAGTAAGTGTGTTCTTACGTCCGCAGCCGCGGAAGGTGCCGCCCATACTTTCTTTTACAGTCAAGATTTCTGACACGTCTTTTTCTCATAAAGGGGACCGAGTGGGTACCGATCGTTGTCGTCGGAACTCAGTCTGATTCTCAATCGAAGCTCAGACAAGTATCAACTGAAGAAGGAAAACAACTCTGCGAGAAATGGAACTGTGCATGGACCGAGGCAAGCGCTAGATATAACGAAAATGTTGGCGAAGCATTTGAGATGTTGCTTTCTGAGATTGAGAAGTCTCAGGATCCGGACAGATCCGCTTCAAATCGCTGTATAACGATGTAGAGTGCCAAAAATTCACAACAAAAGTCCTGCAAGCCGTACGTGCTGTTTTCCGCCTCTCATAGTCCTGGGTTTTGGCGCTGCGACTCACCTAAACCATGACAGCTCACGTCTGTATTGAGGCTGTGTTAGTGCTTTTACATTATCTTTACTAGCTCCAATGATGCCGAAACAGGCGCGCTGTGGTACTCCGACGTAGGGACCATGACACATGCGGTTGACAAGCGGCACAGCTGAGATGACTGCAGATTTATCCGAGACGCAATTCGTCGAATTGCGTCCCATGAAATTCTGTGCGGCTGCGATTCCGCTGCATTTCTGCATTCTACCTCCTCGCCTCCTATAGTCTTCGCTTCCCTCTTTTCTCCAGGTCGTCTTCACGCCATCTAGAGTACAATGAGCAAATAGGTTCGAGATGGATTTGTGTGCCATTCCGGCCGGCCAGCCGCCAGATGGTGTCCTGCCAAACTTTTAGAATCCGCCCTCACTGGCTCCGGCCATCATTATCATTCTATCGTTGTGATTGTCTGCCAACCGCTGACTAAGTGCGACAATCGCTGGGTATCTCATTAAGGCTTCCTGCAGGTAGCCACAGACTACATTGGACTGTTTCATAGCGTCCCAGAGGATGTCAGTTGCCCCGAAGATCAGAAGATCTAAAGGGGCAAGACTCTGTCTTGAAAGCACCCGACCCCCATAATGCAAAACTTTACGTCGACATTCACTTGTACCGACCTAGAAGTGGGCCACTTCATCACCATACTATTATCGCATATTCCTCTCACCTGAACCAGTACAAAACGAAAGATGTGATCGTAAATGTTACGAAAAATGTTCAAGCTGATCCTATAGAGCTATCGAAGAATATGGTAAAGAACTATCAAATATGCCCGAGCAGGTGATCTGGAGTAGGCTACGACGTTAGTGTCACAATTTCATTCTCTAGCATGATGGCCCACAGCCTCCCGGTTGGTAGAATTCTCTCGTTTTTATATGCATCTTCATGATTAGCTAAATGTACTAAGTTTAATCACTTTGCATATTGCTCAATTCCATCCATCCCATTGTCTAAACAACCATCGCCTACGCTACTGACGCTGATTTTTGGTCGACTTGATTTTTCATGTCAGTGATAACGCCACTAGACCTGCGGCTGAACACGAATCGCATCAGTGGGACTGTTCGGCTGTTCAAACAATTATATAGACGCGATCAGTACTTACGATAAATCGCCATCTTCCACTCCATCCACGACCCGAGGCTTTCGTGTCGTTTTGTAAGCATGGAACCATCCACCCTTGAAGATGGCGTCAAGCTCTTCCACGCTGAGTCCGGCGATCTCGGGCACGGTCAGATATACGTAGACAAGTGCAATGAAACACCAGGCTGCGAAGAAGATAAAAGCACCCCAGTTGTTCGTCTGTGATAAGAGAGACGGCATACCGGCATTGACTCCATAGTAGAAGAGCCAATGAAACATTTGTGACATGGCACTGCCAAAGGACCGGATTCGATTCGGCCAGAGCTCAGCACCAAATACGTAAGGAAGAATAAGCAAGCCTGTAGTGATCAGTAAGTATGCAGTTTATCAGTCGATGAGGGAAATGGATCAACTCACCGACAGCGTATCCAAATCCATGAAAGAAGATGGCAGCAATGGCAGCCTGGGATGAGCCAGGCGCGACTTCTCCCTGTTGCTTGTATTTGAGGAAAATGCCAATGTATAGGTCAGAAATCATTTGAATGGTGACACCAACGAATAGTGACCGCCGTCTGCCCAAAGCATCAATGAAGAAGAAAGATGCCAGCAGAGTGAAGAAGAACTTTGCCATGGCGTACATGCCACTCAGGAACAGGGATCGCGTCGTCCCTCCTCCAAGGCCCATCAGCGTCAGAATGGGAACTAGGTAAGAAGTGACCGAGTTTGCACCCGATAGTTGAGCTAGGGCGTACGACACAAGAGACTGCTGGACTCGGCGTAGGTTCGCCGGCACGAGAAATGTCTCTTTCAAAATCGCCACAAATCCTGATCCATTCGCGTTTGTCTCGTCAGTGATGGAATCTTGGATAGCACTGATTTCGGCTTGAATGCGAGGATGATCGCGCGGCAAACCACGGAGCTTCTCTAGCGTCTCAATAGCCTCGTCGTGGCGGCCGACCAGGAAAAGCCAACGAGGCGAATCGCACATGAAGAAACTCGCGGTAATGCACAAAACGATCCATATGCAAGGTGAGAACCAAACAACCTGGTACTGCAGTCGTGTAGCGGCCATTGTAGCAAAGACGCCATAGACGCAGAAGATTGAGACGAACAGGGACATGAGCATGGCCACTGAAAACCAAGAGGCCAGCAGTCCGCGGGTCTCTGGGGGCGCAATCTCTACTATTGACATGGTTCCCAAGACTGTACATGGTCCAATGCCGAGACCTGCAACGATGCGGGCTGCATACAACGCCGGTAGATTTGGGGCGAACACAGCAATGAGCTGACCAATAACCCAAATGAGCATGTACAGTCTCAGCGCCCAGAGCCTCCCGATCCGATCATTGATGAAGAAGGAGAGGCCTGCACCGACACCACAGCCTATGTAGACGATGGACACGAAGTTGGATATTTCTTTCGAATTGGTGCCGGAGCTGATGCCAAAGTACTGTTGAAATCCTGGCAAGGATGGAATTACGGAGGATGAACCTTGGTCCCAAGCTATTTACGCAGTAGCACGCGTCAGCAGCTCAAGCTCAAGATAATGAAGCACATCGCTAGGGATTCATCTTACTGATTGGCACGCCGCACATTGCGTATAGGGCTGCCGATAGGAGCAGGTGTCTGTTGACTATCACCTCGCGAGGCGCATCTCGCATGGCTCTCCCATATTTTGCCAACGTTGACTCGGTTAGGACGCTCTTGAGCGCCATGGTACCGAGCTTTGGATTTCCGCTGTTATTGCTTCAGGCTCAGCAGCTGGATATATCATGTGATTGCTAGCCTCAGTATGCAAGGCAGAGAGAGACTTGTGTCAAAGTGAGCGGCCTCGTGAATGGTGGCACCCCGTACGACGGTGTCGAGAGAATAAAGGGTCGGCTGCTCATCGACGGAATACAATCTTTACCGGATTTTGTTGTTTTTATCATCTTCATTGATAATCTAGTTCATCCTATCATCCCCCCTGGTCTGCTACAGGTCTGTTGGGGTTGATAGATTTCTCAGGTTACCATACTGGAAGTGGCCATGGACAGTTGATAACGCGTCAGATAGGGAGAAATCGAGTCAGGGACATTTGGAGTAGTAGTACCAACTGAATAGCTTGGACACACTCATCGATTGACGTTACAATTGCTCGGGAGAATCCGATATGCACTAGAGACCCATGACAGCAATCCCCATTTATGGTTGTTGGTCTACCAATCAAGTGGCAGGTTGCAGAACCGTTATCGCGACTAACCAGTGCCGGTTCTCGGGGGAAACCGAGCTAAAGCCCAATAGTCAAGGTGTGGACCTCCAAGGGTCCATCCAAGCGCTGACGGGGAGCGTGGAACATTCTGTGCTTGTGCGCATCCAGTAGTCTACCCTGTCGATTGATGAGCATTGAACGGAGAGCGGAGCGATGTCTGTACTGCTTAGGAAAACCACCTGCGAGGCTTGTGAAAGATATCGTGGGCACATGTCACCAGAACCAGAATTTACAGCTCACCAGTCGCTCTGAAGGTCAAAATCAGGCCTGCACGACAAAACTCAAGCCCGCAATCAACGAGATCAAGTCCTTAGTGCCAAGTGATCATCATGGCCAACAGTATTCCGACCAAGGATCAGCCCGTCATCATAGTCGGCAGTGGTATATTTGGGCTCAGTACAGCCCTTCATCTTGCACGCAGGGGATACAGACAAGTGACTGTATTTGATAAACAGCCCTACGATGAAAGTCTCTACTCGTATTTCAGAGGCGCCGACGCGGCATCGGCAGATATCAACAAGATAGTCCGGTCCGCCTACGGCTCGCAGACAGAGTACCAAGATCTCTCAACCGAGGCGATTGCGGGATGGCATCAGTGGAACACCGAGTTGGCCACAGGCAAGAACCTTCCCCCTGGCATGTGCCAACAGGATGCCGTCTTCATCCCAAACGGAAATTTGTCTTTGTCAACAGCGCCCACTCTGCCTGACTGGGAACTTGCCTGCATTGAGGGAATGGAAAGATCAGGTCATTATAACACACAACTGGCCACAACGGATCCTGGGCACCGAGAAGTGGCCCGACGAAAGGGCATAGATCACCTGTTGGATCCCTTTCGAAGGGAGGCTCGGGGCAAAGCCAATGTCGGCGTCCTGGATACAACCGGAGGAACGGCCGTAGCCGACAAGGCATGTCGGTTTTCCCTCGAGAAAGCGAGATCGCTAGGTGTCAAATTTGTATTTGGCCTTGATGCGGGCAGGTTTGAGTCCTTTGTGCGAGAGGGCCAGAAAATAACTGGCATCAAAACCGCTGACGGGAAAGTGCATCATGCAGACATGACCATCATGGCATGTGGTGGCTGGACTCCGGTATTGGTGCCACAGCTCGATGGTCTCTGCGAGGCGACTGCCGGCAGCGTAGCGCTTTTGAAGATCCCCCGATCATCCCCAATGTGGGATAAACTGAGCCCCGATCAATTCCCGACCTTTACGTGGAATATGCGGGCCGGTGCCGGTGGCTGCGTCTATGGCTTCGCACGAGACAACGATGGATGGTTCAAAATTGGCTATAGAGGCACAAAGTATACCAATCCAATGTCCCAAGCCGACGGCAAGGAACGAAGCACGCCAGTGACTCGATGGTCTCCCGCGCATCGCGATGGCAATGTGCCAGTGGGCAGCGCTCTGACATCGTTCCCGGTGCAGGCGCATCGAGTAATCCAAGGGTTTCTCGACGAATACCTTCCGGAATTGGCGCAAGAAGGAATTACTATCGACACGACCCGCATCTGCTGGTATACTGATACCTACGATAATCACTTCGTCGTCGACTACGTTCCCGAATGTGAAGGCCTCATGGTTGCGACAGGTGGAAGTGGACACGCTTTCAAGTATTTACCAAATATTGGCAATTGGGTTGTTGATGTAATGGAGCAGGTCAATCTCGAAAGGCCCGCCATCAAAGCTTGGCGCTGGCGGACATCAGGTCCAGAGAAGCCGGTCAATGCGTTGATGGAAGGATCGAATGGGCTGCGAGCATTGGGAAATATTGCCATGTCACATCTAGGTAGAAATGCGAAATTGTAATTCAATGACTGACAAATAATATCCAATGATTTATATATGGTTCATATCGCCATGCTTGTAAGTCGCATTATGCAGTCGCAGATCATCCGGTCTAGGCGGATCATGATCAAACATTATTATGATCCAACAAAGCTGCGTTCACAAGATTGAAAATGGGGATCATTGTGTAGAGTATCTGATCCAACAATTGGAATCACGTAGTTTGTGGTATTAATTTACGGCAAATCATGTAATACATCTGCTTGTAAAGAGGTTCCTATTCTGTTGTTTCCGGTAGCGGTAGTCTTTCATGGGGGAGAAAGCACACTCCTCAGCATTTCGAGACATGATTGGAGGCTCCCTTGTTGCGCTGCTGCGTATAACTCATCTGCGTCGACCACCGACCTTCCAAGTGCAGCTTCGAGAGCATCGAGGTCAGGTCTACTCTGTAGTGGCTCCTGATTGGTCCTTGAGCCATGTCGCAAATTTGATTGGAAAATACCAGCCGCAGAAAAAGGCAAGAAGTCCTCGTAGGTGATGGGCACAGTTTCGACCACACCTGCGTCGATGAGCCTCTCCAGATCCTTTCCCTCGCCAAGTCCGAGAGGGATATTCGCAACATTGACCAAGTGGTGACGTGACTTTGTTATACACCGGTACTTGAAATAGACCAGACCACCTTTTCGCAATTCGTCCCATGTGTCTGGGTAGCTCCGGAACTTTTCCACCACCATGGCATCCACGCCTTCGGGGCTCAGATGTTGCGCTGAGTCGAGGGCTTCGCCGAGAAGCTTGTCATATAGTGCTCGTCCGGCCGGCGTCACTGCCGTGCCTCGTTCTTCAATTTCCCCGAAGCGAGCCTTGTGCGAACCATTAATGAGATCGGCGGCGGCGGCGGCGCCATCTCCCGCTCTGAATTGGATGCGCTCCTCCAAGGCGATAAAGCTAGTTTGACGAAGGAGAATCGGGAACCTGCGTGATGGGGGGCCTTCGATGCGCTCCTTCACCACCATGTGCTGCTCCTGCATTGCTCGCTGCGCACGACCGATGTCAAGCGTTCGAGGAGTCAAATGATTGATGTGGCAAGTTTGGAAGCAGGCAATGTCGGCCAGAATAGGATGCTCATTTTTCAAGATTTCGTACTCTGTGCGCGTGGCTGCTGCGACTGGGGCCCAGCAAAACGTGCGCAGAGCTTCGCGGATGAACACTTCTCCTTGTTGGCAATCGAGACGATGGTCTTGATGTTCTGCAACTTTGAGCATTTGCATAAGCTGCTGACTGAAAATATTTCGCTCGGATAAAAGTCGAAGGGCCAGGTCCCTCGCAGCATCTGATTGTACCAATTCTGGTCGGAGCAGGGTGGTGAAGATGCGAAAGGGATTGCGCGCCAGAGATGATTCGCAAATGGGTCGAAAACAAGTGGCATGCATGGGCAGACCGGCGACCGAAAGGTCATAGTAGCCAACTGGTTGCATTCCCATCAATGCGAAAATGCGACGAACCGTGCCGAGTTCCTCTGGGGTGCCGAGGCGAATTGCGCCATGTCGCTCGAGCATCAGGCGTTCCAGGCGGTCTGCTGTGGGTGGCTCGATTGAATTCTGAGAGATAACTTCTCTGTTTACATCGCTCACAATTTGCACAAGATCTCCATACAGGGGAACCTCTTCCTTGTACATGTGGGACATTGCCGTGGCAAAAGCAGTGCGGAGGTCGTCAGGGTGTACGAAGAGAGCTTCGTTGGCCATTGTTGCTGTTGAGCCAAAGGCTGAGAGCTGGCGTGAGGGCAGAACGGAAGATGTCATCATGGTACGATGGAATGGATAAAGATAACGACTTGAATTGTTTGTTCACTGCGAGGACTGGAAGTATTCATGAGCTATTCCTTGATTTTTTGGGCGCCGACGTTTGTTATAGAACATATGGCGGCGCAAACCGAGTAACACTTGATAGTATTGGAATGCCGGCACTAGGTAAATCATCACAAATTCAAGCGGTGACTAGGTATAAGCATAGATGGTCCGGTATATGTGAGTGGATCTGATACGGATTATTCCTTACGTGCTTGGTGGTCGTCTGACAGTCAGTTACCATTGTACCTCGGGGTCCTCCGAACTAGACCTGGCGTGAAGAGGTGCCCTCTCCCAGCTTCGAGACAAAGTGGTAAGGTGGCAGTGAATTGTGGTACGATGCAATTTGATTTTGTTCCCGCTGTAATATAAACCTCCCCTTCCTCTGATATCAGGCAGTTCAATGGGAGTCATGACTCGCATCAGTTGTTCATCAAAGTGGATGGGTGTTGGTGTGCGAGACCTGGAAGTCAACTAGCTGCTATTAAGAACCACCCTTTTGCACAGAATCTCATGACTTCACATTCATTTGAAGAGTCCCAAAGTCGTCGACTTATAACGTAATAAAATGGTAGTTAGCTGATCTAACACCAATGTTTTTCAGGTGGTCTGTCTTGTACATTGCCACACCAGGAAGCGGTCCTCAATCCCTGTGCTACGACTTCACCACGGGTGTATTGACCGGTGAAATCGGCTCGCCCTTGGCAAATAACGCCCGAATATTCTCAAAACATTCCCTTTCAGCCTTTTGAAACGCCACATCAGTCAACCCTCCCAAGTGCGGCTGGATAATGACCTTGTCGCTCTGCAAGAAGTAGGCGTCCGGCTTGGGCTCATTAACAAATACATCGAGACCAGCCCGCGCCACTTTTCCCGATTCTAGAGCGGCGATCAGCGCCTTCTCGTCCACTACCGCGCCCCGCGCCGTATTAATGAGGAACGCGCCGTCCTTCATAGCGGCGAATTGAGCCTCGCCGATAAGGCCAGTGGTGTTGGCGTTGAGGGGGCAGTTCAGCGAGATCACGTCGGAGGAGCAAAGGAGCTCGTCCAAAGTTTTGCAGTATGTAGCACCATATTTTGCCTCTTCTTCGGCATGAAGCTGTGTTCTGTTATGATAAATGATCTTCATATTGAAAGCAGCCGCTTTTTTGGCCAGATACTAGATTTGAAAGTGTTAGTTTTGTTATTAAAAAATTCGGGCCTTGACTCATACCTTTCCAATCGCGCCCATGCCGATAATCCCCAGAGTGAGACCCGAGGGATCCCGCCCCGGTACTAAGTTTGCAGCTGCCCGCCACGACCCGCCCCGCGCGCTCTTCTCGGCGTTGGTGGTATTTCTCAATGTCGCCAAGGTGAGGAATATGGCCATATCCGCGGTGGCCTCGGCGACCGCATTAATGGTATTACAAAAGTAGATGCCTTGCGACGCCATCCAGTCCACATCAAACTCGTTAAAACCGGCGCTGGCCGAAGCGATGATCTTGCAACCAGGCGCGAGCGCCTTGAGCAGATCCTCGTCAAACGGCTCATACGGAGGCGTGCCCATGCGAATGATAAATGCATCTATTGGGCCGTTTTGCTTGATGTCTTCTGGAAGCATGGACTGGGTCTCTGCCCGGTTTGTTGCTGGTAGGACCGAGTAATTGAACTCTCGTTGGAAGTCTGCCAGGAAATCGCTTCCAACATATTTGGGCTCGCCCAAACACACGACGCGCGGCTTTCTGGCGATGGCCATGATTGTGAGATTGAGAGATTACGGAATTGTGGATAGGAGGAATAAAGGCACAAGGTTTGAGTATATTGTCCTAAGTTTAATAGTGAGGCGGGAAAAAGTGAAGAAAGAGTGAAAACTTCCTACAGAGTCCCGACAGAGGTCAATCATGGAATCCAGATGACTTGTTGATGGAATCAAATCTCAAGGCGAGATCCAGCCGGTAGGCAGCCGAGCATCGGTGTTCCATTGCCCGGTGCGGAATGAGGTGCTCTCCACACCTGCTCCAAATGTGTATGCTCGGATTCCCCCGTGGTTGGTCTATTCAGTAGCTTCCGTAGAGGAGTCCCGCCCGGCCTTGTATGGCGCTGGATGATCGGATTCCCCCGAGTACCTTCATGGGAAGAAAGTGGGGCAAAGCCACATTACCTACACGGAATACGTCAACCATCATCACAAGTGTTCTCGAATGAATGACAATAAGCGTTCGGTGAAGGGGTACTACTGATTGGGCCCTTCATTTCGTCTTCCTTTTAGCTAAGAGATGACATCGACAGAGGAAGCAACGGCGTCGACGCCAGCCCAGCAAAGCCCAGCGTCACTGCCACCGCTAGGCTTCATCTCCGTCGAGGTGATCATACACAGACCCCCGGGGGACCCCTTCAACGAGGCAACTTGGCCCTTTCCGTTGATTCGTGAACGGGCAAAAGACTCCAAAGTGTCACAGGTCGTCTCTTCGGCGGGATATGACGACGACTTCATTGCTCATTTCGTCGACGCCGGCCAGAGGCTGGTGCAAAGAGGCGCCGTGGGGATCATCACCAGCTGTGGCTTCCTAGCCATGGCTCAACCAGAGTAGGTGTTCTTATCCAAGTTTGGGATGAATAGTATAGAAACAACAACTAGTCATCGTATACCACTACAGACGAGACTAACAGCTCTAGACTGTCTGAGCGCCTGCCTGTCCCTGTCCTCACGTCTGCGCTCGTTCAGGTCCCATCAATCATTGCCATGCTGCCTCGAGAGAAAAAAGTCGGTATCCTTACCTACGACGACAGTCGTTTGGGAGATATGCACCTAGAAAAGCTCGGAATCCCACCATCACGGGTGTGCATTCAAGGTGCCCCCGCAGACGGCCATCTTCGTCACCACATCAGGGACGGCGCAGAGTATGTGCACGAACAAATTGAGACGGAGCTGGTGCAAGTCGCGCAAAAAATGATGACCAAGTATCCGGAAATAGCTGCAGTATGTCTAGAGTGTACAAATATGCCACCGTTTGCGGAGGCCATTCAGAAAGCGATTGGCAAACCCGTGTATGATATATGTACGGCCGGTTCCTGGTTTTACTCTGGACTTGTAACGAGGCGACCAAGTCGTTGGAATCCTATACCCAAAGATACGATAGAAGGTAGAACATGAAACTTTCTAGTGCGCGTCTCGTTTTCAATCAACCATCATCTCCTGAGAGTGCTTGCACAATGACTTCAAATTGCCCTCTACACTAGAAAGTCCCCTTTCGTTTCCTTGAGTATCATCTGATACTCTGGCACAAACTGCATGTACATTACATCAGGACTACCAGTCCCCTTTTTGGTGTATTCAGCCTCTTCTTCCGTGACAAAAGTCTTGCTCAACTGGCTCACGGCACCTCCAACACTCGAAGGGATCGTGGCTGACTCGACGAGAAGCTGAGTCTGGCAAGCCCGCTCAAGCGCAATGAAAAATGCGGCAGCTTCGGCGATTGTGCCGCCACACGTGAGTATGCCGTGATTCTGGAGGATGATGTTCTTGTTTCGAGGACCCAGTGCTTCTGCAATATTTCGTCCCTCCTCGGGTGCAAATACGACGCCGCCAAACGCCGCGTACACAGAGAGGTCGTCGTAGAACATGCAGCTATCTTGATTCAGCATGTCAATTGGTTTTCCAAATGTACTCCAGGCCCTCGCATAGGGACTGTGCATGTGGCAAGCCGCGTTGATATCTGGTCTTGCAGCGTGAATGGCACTGTGAATAATAAAGCCAGCTTTGTTGATTCTGGCATTATTTCCACCGATGCGATTGCCGTTCTTATCGACATGTACCATATCCGATACACTCAGAAGACCAAAATGGAAGCCATAAGGGTTGATCCAGAACGTATTGGGATTGATAGGATCTATACTCGAGTTTAGCAAATAGGACGGGCGGAGAGAAAGCAAACAAAATATTTCACCTCTCAGGCTGATATGGCCACTGCCGCCATCAGCAAAGCCCAATTTTGCAAAAATGCGAAATGCGCCTGCCATTTGTTCGAGCTGCCATTGTCGTTGCGCTTCTAGAGATTCTGGCCGCGGAATATGGTGCAATGCCCGGGTTGGCCTGGGCTTTGAGGAGCTGCTAATCCCATCGACCTCGGCCACAGTTGTAGGCGATGCTGTCACGACTTCTGTTGCTGACATCTCGAAAACACTTGGAATAATAGATTCTCTATGATAGATTGACTGCAGGAAAATGACTCCCCTTTTCTTATCGAACCACTTTATAAAAGGGTTCTGCGGCAGGATCGCGGAATCATAGGTCCATTTGATAGCGGGGTCAGCCGGATAGCACCGACGCCAAAGCGCCTATTGGTTTCCGGTTAGAGGGAGATCCCGAGTGCCACTCCAGCGGTGTTTGGTGGCGGCTGGTGGGTCGCACTGCAGTGCTGTATGATATCACTGCATCAGCAGCGACCAATAGTAGGAATCAATTGCCCTTCGGTCTTGTTTGCTTAATGATTTCAAGTTTGGTCTCTCATCCCTTGCAATAGTTCTTGAGCCAACCATTGCGGATCTCCTGGGGCATTTGAATAGTCCAGACTCATAATCCAGTCTTGAAGCGAAAATTGATAATCGGGCGCACCAGGATTCTCCATCAGATGATCGACCGCAATGCCCGATATCAGCCCTTCCAGCTGCGCGGCAGGCGGCGGCGGCAAGTCGCTGCGGACTTCGCACGAGTCGCTGGTTCCTCTGTAGACCAAGTCCATTGTCCGTTCTGATAGAACCTCGAAAATGTCACGGTATGATGACGCTTGACCCCAGCGCTCGGCAATAATTGTTAAAACTGTAGTGCAAGCCATACATGTATTCATGATTGTAGTGGCTTTTGTTTGCTGACGGAGGAGGGGCGACCGCCACAGACAATAAAGGTAAGTCAATCCACCGAGGAACAAAATATGTAAACTGCCCCACGTGAATTGTATATGCGATGCCTGACTCTGATAAAGGCGTCTATAGTGTAGACACATGTCCCTCGCCCTATCGGAGCATATCTCAAACGCACGTTGTTGTGCATCTGCGTGTAGCCCTTGGACTGGGGACCGCGGGCTTCTGCCGGAATCTGAGTAGACACCGACAATATATGGGCGATAGAGAAGCAATATCGAGTAGTCATAAGCAAGCTGAAACCAATCATTGGAAGCAAAGACGGAGAAAGCTCGAGTCTGGTTGTTGACCAACTTTTCTGGAATAGTCGCACGCCATTCTTCGAGTTCTTGGCGCAGACTCTCAATTGAGCCTCCGGGCTGGCCGTAAGTGGCATTGGAGTACAGAGCATCGTTGAATTTTGACCACAACCGACGCAAGTTGATTGCGTGGAGTGCTCCAGTCATGGAAGTTGGGGGCTCGGCTGCATTCAGCCGCGGTTCACCCTGCAATCCGTTCGATGTGAGAGACTCGTCATCAATGTCCATAGGAAGCTATAGTAGTTGAGCATGTGATCCTGGAACAAATCATTACGCCAATGAAGAATAAATGCTCACCTCGACGTCAATGACTTTGTCAGGAATACCAACAGGGCGGCCTAATATAAATGATGCTACCCGATCAATATCATAGGCTACCCAAAAACACCTCTTGGACATCTCCTTGGTCAATATATCTGCAGAGCTCCGGTAACGCTCTGCGCTACGATGATAGCCAAGTTCAATGCAATGTCTGATGGCCATGCCAGAGATTTTCCTATGTTCGCTTTAGATAATTGCACCTAGCAAAGCTAGTAAAGACCAAGATGGCTTACCATAAACTTGCTCCTATTGGAGACCTTATGGAGTAAATAGCGCAGCAAAGCAAAGTTTGCACTGATTGAATATTGTCGCGATCTAACAATGGAGCAATATGCCTCATTGCCATGGTATAATAACTCTGCATATTGTCAGCTCAAGCCTTTGTAAGATTTGACATAAGGCTAGTTATCTGCATATACCTCGGCTTCATCTATCGCGGAAGGCCCAAGGGTGAGACAACCGGTAGCACAAACCTGTAATGACGGGTTAGTGCGGGAAGAACGTGCCAGAGATATCTATTCAGCTTGCCATGAGGACGAAAAATAGAGATGCACCACTGGCCCTAGTCGGATCGCCTTGTATAGTGGCGTCCAGACACTCTTTCTCCATCAGCCGAAATGTAGGGCGATGGAGAAATGGATATTGCGGATGAATATTCTGAAAATATGCTTCGGAAAGCTTGGCCATTTTGCTCGGACTTGGGAAGTCAATCGCGACAGCATGTCCGGCGCGCTCTCCAGCTTCGCTTACGCTGCCCCATTCGGAGCCATGGTTTTCGCTCCGGCGAGACAGTCCAATAGTTGAACTCACTACGCGCGAGAAATGAACGGCAGAGGAAGGGCCGAAATACTGCGGCTCGCGCCCAGCTGCCCCCAAACAGAGCAGGGCGACTTCATTACTCAGTATATCACCCTGTCCCGCGTCGTCATCAACGCCACGCGCTCCATTGACGACTCCCTCATCGAGCTGGGCCCCAGGTAGAGGGGGGGAGACTGCATCAAGATGATCGAGAGCTACTTCAGGCCGCGAGTCTTGGAGAAGACCCTCGAGATACGCAACACGGGCTTCTAATGAGCGAATGTAGTCTCTAGGACGATGCAAGCCCGTTGCCGGATCTTCAACGAGGCACTCTAAAGCCGGTTAGTATTAGACACACAATTATATAGTCAGAAGGGAGCTTTTATGAGTACCTCGGTCGGTCCTGGTACAATTCCTGCATTTTGGAGTCTGTCCATCACACTATTATGGTATTCAGTATCGAGCACCTTGGCGTGTCTGCTGAGATGAGAACCCGGGCAACGCGGTAATCACCTTCAATTTGCGCTGCTTACAATTGATGCATGCTAGCATCGTCCGTTCACCCACGCGCGGCCGCTTGGCAGGCTGCGAATCGGAGGCCGGGGCACTCATACTGGCATAGACATTCGGGTCGATGATCAAAGCTGTTTCATACAGGCGGCTGAAATTGGGTACCCAAGGCTGGTGAGAGACTCGGAGTTGATTTGCGTAACCGTTGGCGGGACCGGGGGCGCCAAAGCGGAGGCGTGGCACTGGAAATCGAAAGTCACTGGGAATGAGCTCCACTAAAATGTACCAACACTTGGGCAATTGCCTGCATAAATGCATCTCGTAATGCAGATGCAGATCTTTTTGAAAAGAGGTTTCATGACTAACTATACAGAGTAGCTTCTGTTATCAACATCTGTACTATGCTATACAGTTGTGTTCCTATTATTGATGGACGATGTTCTACTACTACGATGGCCACGCATTGCATAAGTTCCTATGTACTTATCTTCTTGACGGCCAAAAGGGCTTGCAGGTCGCCTAAGGTTTTCACCAGCTGCACAGCAGCTGGTGCTTCTCCGTGGTGCCATAATTCACAGATCTCGGGATTGATTTCCAGTAGTCGTAGTAGGTAGTGCATCTCCCCCGCAGTCCCCTGGTGCAATAATTGGCACCCTTGGAATACACCGAGTGGGGCAGGAAGCTGAGTTCTCCCTGCCTTAACTGCGCGCCGTGGTGCTCCAACGTCCGGGCTGCCCTACCTCTTTTGAATGCGATATTTGGTAAACCCAAAGGTTCGAAGTCTATTATAACAAAGCTTCAAAACAATTATATTATCGAAAGGACAAGCAACGGCTATCATAATAGTTTTGAATACTTTTTATATTGCTTTCACTCCTAGATAAATTCTTGTCAACTTTAATTAATTTAAAAGTGTCGGGGCCGGAATCCCAAGCATCTAGCTGTGATATACATCATTATACCTCCGATAAAACTGTTTCACGCTTTATCATGATGCCCTCCAAAGGAATGCCGATGCCGGTTTCGCGATTCAAATTTTTGTTGCTGTGCCCGGTGCTAACATTTATGCTGCGGCTGCCGTAGTGGTCGGCAGGGGTAAAGCCATCTTCGATATCGGCCAACCGCTCGAACGAGCCATTATTGTTGGAAAAGTGGTTACGATGGAAGGAGGCTTCGCCGATAGTAGTGACGCCGCTCGCGGGCGTCTCTTTGGACGGCGCTGTGCTGATGCTCTTGAGAGGGTCGCCGAACCTCAGCTTGCGGTAGACAGGCACCAGCGTTGGAGCGCATGCCGCGATGATGGCTATGTATATCTCAACAACTGTGGCGACGCCCGAAGGGTAGAATTGCACTGGGGTGCGAATTAGTTTCTCTGCTTGCACTGGACGTTTTGCCAACTCTTGACGACTTGCACGTAAAATTCCATGTTCCTTCACGATACATTACCGCCGTGTATGCTGTACGAATCACAGCGGACGTGAAGGCTCTGCATGATGACCATTGACGATTAATTATTGTCGGCAGTTTACCCGTCGAGGAGAGAAGGCTTACCCGCCACCAATGAGGAACACTCCGCAGATGTTGATCTTCTTCCGCATGCTTGTCTTCAATTTCAAAACTTCGTGGATGGGCAATGTCAAGGTAAAGAAATCAATGACACAGTTGCTGATCGAGTTGGCGAGAAAGCAGAGTATTGGGTCTAGACATGTCGTGGTCGAAAGGGCTTGAAGCTCGATGTACCAGAACGCTGGCAGCGGCCGGCACTGTACAAAGTTGAGAATAGTTATGGCAATACACCAAGCAATGCACATTGACCCAAGAATTTTGCAGCCTATATTGACTGTTCGCGTTGGAAAGACGCGCCAATAAAAGGCCAATGCTGATAGCTTGATTAGGGGAGAGCTGTAGGTATAGGCAATCTCGGCCACAAAGAGGGACTGTTCGATTCTAGATTAGCAGCTGCCATCGAGAAAATGCAATGACGATGTCTCTCACCTGGAACAAGACCACCACAGAATGAGGATCCTCGCTGGCAGTAACCCTCATGTCGCGACCCACTCCACCACGCACCATGCTCACGCAACTAGCTACCATGAGAGCATGCTGGAAGAAGAGGGACGCTGCGCAGAGATAGTCGTCCAGTCCAAAGGCCTGCCTAGTCAATCTGCGCGCCCAAAACCTTAGGACAACCACGAATGTGGCGCTGAACCCGAGAATAACAACACCAACGACCCTACCAGCGCTGTGGTTGGAGTAGTCTAGGGGTGGTTGGATAAGTTGCTGGTCCATTGCTGACATGCTTCTGATCGGTATCTCACGAGGGCAAAGTTATTGAAGACAAGAACTGCTCTGCTGCACAAGGAACCAACAACGATGGTGCAGGCCTCTAATAACAGAGCATCGTTTTTGAATTCCTAGATTGACTCTCGGGGGATGGAAACGACGTCGTTTGTCTTTTGGCAATGAATGCGGTGCAACGCTGCAGCCTTCTTGTATGGTGGTTTGATGCTGGTAAATTCTAAAAATAAGCAGGATCGAATAGTCTGGCAGGGGGGGTCTACGTATACGGGCATTGCAGAACGTGGCGGCCTTGTTTCTCACCCTCAGATGTGGTATCGGCCCCCACCTCCCCGGGGATCTTCGGTAGCGAGAAAAAAACCTTTGAGCCGCTGAAGTGGTCGGAAAACTGCTTGAGCTTTGCGCCCGGGCACTTTGGCATTCAGAACACTGTGATTGCTCATTCACCAGATCCTGTATAGCATACGACGATCTTGACTCGAATGCTACGGCCAACAAGTCGCATGCAGGTAAATATTGAACCCATCCCCCGCCCTCACGTGTTCTAGAATCTTGGCTACCACTATAATCGATGTGTGGGTAGCCCCCAACGGTCCCTGGGATGCGTAAGCGAGTTGTTACACAAGGGAGTTGGAGTGCATATTCGCGAAATTGCACGATCAATCGGGTGGTCAGCCGGCCAAGGGCTTGGCAGATCTATTGGGATCAAGAAGTGGAGGCTCTGGCCTTCCTCGGCTGGCGGCGGTCGGTTTTCCCAAAACAGACAGTCTTGAACTGCCTGTCTTTTTTGTCCTACTTTAATTCCAACTCCATTGCACATATTCATACAACAGTCAACGGCTTTCAGGAAAAGAACGACATACATTTTCCACTTTGCAGATTTGATCAGTCGTCTTCTACAAGCAACAATCAGCATGGCATCCACCGACAAACACCCGCTGATATCACGCCAGCCTTTGAGGCTGCTATTTCAATTATCCTATTCCATCATCATCCTTGCACGGCTGCCTTATTATTCTGCCATATCTCTGATTCCCTGGCTCAGACCAAATCCAAGATGGAGTGCAAAACAAACATTCATGACCCGTCTGTTCTATCCAATACTCGACATGATCTCTCGAGTCGGCATCACAGATAGCTTGACGTTGGAAAAGCGCAAAGAAGGCGATCGCTTCCAGGTTGTGGAACCCGCCGCTACGAGCGTCTACCAGGGACTGCCGGTATCCAAAACGATCCAGCCAGCAGTCATCGGAGGCACGTGGTTCCCCAAGGCTCCAGACGCCGCCATCGCTTCCAAGACCGTGTTCTTGTACTTTCACGGAGGGGCATTCATCCAGGGCGACGGGCGGGATGCCCAGTGCGCCACCATCGCCAAGATGCTACTCACAAAAGGACGCGCCGACTCTGTCTTTTCTGTACAATATCGCCTTTCTGGGTACGGTGGTCTGAATCCATACCCAGCAGCGTTACAGGATGCATTATCCAGCTACCTCTTCCTTCTGAATGTCGTCCACGTACCTGCCAAGCAAATCGTCGTGGCCGGTGACAGCGCCGGAGGCAACCTCGTCACGGCCCTTTTGCGATACCTGGCGGAGCACGGGGCGGCCACTGGCATCCCGGAGCCAAAGTGTGCAGTTCTCATATCACCCTGGGTGGCGCCGTTTGACTACGAAATGGCAGGCAATCCTCACCTTGGCACCGACTTCGTCCCTTCTTCTTACGGGGCCTGGGGCGCGCACAGCTACGGTGGAGGCCGGCCCGGGGCTGCCGCCGATCCCTACATCACGCCCCTGGGCAACCCTTTCGCCACGAGCGTCCCAATTTTCTCCAGTGCGGGCTCGGCGGAGATTTTCTATGAGCGCATCGTACGCTGGGTGGACGAAATGGGTGCCATCGACGGGAACAAGGTACAGATCTACCACGAGAAAGACGCGGTGCACGATACATTCTTTTCGGCGGAGATGCTTGGCTTTGAAAACAGTGCCTGGGAGGTTGCCGCTCAGATTGGTGAGTTTGTGGGAAGGTACTGACGCTGCATTGCTCGTCAAGACGGCTAGCATGGTGAACTTCTTGATAGTTGTCGCCGCAAGCTTACGAACAGTCCTTATTCTCGTAAAAAGTCTACCAATTCAATTTCACTAAACCGGTCACCGGCGCATCACCGTCAAGGAGATTCCAGGCCTCACCTGCTGTGCTGCATCAATTCCTGGTCCATGGGTCACATAAATATGTATATGCCATTTTGAGCAATTCCCACCACATACGACCATAGACACCAGAAAACTCGGCATCCCGTCCGCTCTGCCCTAGATAAACTGGCGATTGGCTGGCCAGTAGTCGGATCGGTGATGATTTAATGACTTTGCAATCCTCCGGTTTTGCTGTTTCTTTCGCGCGTTCGAGTCGGTGGTGGTGGCATTATACGGAAGTGTAAAAACATGGTTATAGTGCAACTATAGCGACGTCTCCCGCGGGAGCTGCCGGAGCTAGCTCATGTTAGTATAACTTTAGCTGGTTCGTAGTGTGTACGGTGGTGTTACTAGGTCACAGATAGCGGGGAAAACTACATAGCTAACATCATTACGAGAGCTCGCAGAACCAGTACAATCTTTCAAGTGCGTTTATTATTATCATTTTTGGGGTAAAACAGCGGGGTATAATCAACTAGAAAAGTGCTTGCGATAGCCAATCGAGTTACGCACACTTAGAGATATAGTACGGCCATTACGATAAACATGATTTTAACACGTTTTGAGATCTTCGTATTTATTGCCTACCTAGGTAGTTTTATAGGTCCCCTAAATCATTAGCTACTCGAGTTTAGAAATACTAATTATGATGGTAGGACTCCAAAAAAGATGGTGGGCTGGAACCATACCTGGTTCGCCGACATGTCAGCTCGGCGCACCTTTATCCCGCTGTAAGGCCTTTTTAGTCCTCGAGAGTTATGCAGGTTTTAGCATGCAGCTGTAGTATGGCCACTTAAGCGTATAGCCTAACGAGGCTCCGGAATGCCTTGGGCATCAAGGCATTCTCCGAGTAATTCGCTTTTGGAGTCCGCGATCTTGAGGAAAACAACACTAGGCAACAGCGAAAATAAAGGTGTTCGAGCTCAGATTATTCTCCTGTAATCTTTTTTGGACGCGCCCGGACGGACTTTGCGCACGGCTGGTATGTCACAACCTTATATACTATTAAGCAGCAGCCTAACCCAGCTCAGGCCTCCCACGGCATCCTATTGCCTCCGGTATCTATTATGTATATCTTTATAATATCGCTGGTTTTATATTTGGTTTTCCCTTTTCTAGAGCCACTCTTCCGAATTATATTTAATCATATGGCCATCGACTCATTCTCGCATGATCATGTCCCTCAACGTGCCCAAGCATGCCCGGCGATCCACTTCCCGCGTAACAACGACTTTGTCGGGCGCGACGCCCAACTCGCGCAACTTAAGGAGTCTCTCCTGCGGTCCCAGACCGACAAGTCAATGGTAGCGATACATGGACTCGGCGGAATAGGGAAGACACAGCTAGCGCTCGAGTTCGCCCGAAGCGCCGACGAATCCTGCTCCGTATTCTGGGTCCCCGCCCGTACCGAGACGTCGTTTTCACAAGCCTACAAGTCGATCGCAACGCTGCTGGGACTGGCAGGCAACCAAGACGTCTTGTCCAAAGCCACAAAGCACACAAGTCAAAGGCTTAAAAATAATCTTCAGTACCAGGCCTGGATCGATAACTCCCTCGTTGCGACAACGTATCCGAAGCAGCCCAAAGAAAGATCAATTTTACCCGTTTTAATCAACGGCAAACATTTCGATGGGTTCCCCGACACAAATGCCACCCGCAATGTGATGACAGAAGAATTTGCCGTATCTATTGGTGCAGTGATTGATAGGGCTACAGCTGGACGGGCTACTTTTATCAACGCAATTGGGGAGAAGACGAGCTCGATTGGCCAGACTTCGCTTGAAGTGGCCTTTCCTGATAATCCTGGAAAGTCATGGTCTTGCCAGTTTCAAGTGGTCCGATGCTGCCCCGAAGGCCTCGTCTTTGGTGACCATTTCTTAAGGACGTTGACGGAAACTTTGACCAAGTTCCGCCATCGCCTTAAGAAAAAGGCAACAGTCTCAGGCCTGAATATACGCAGACTGTTGCATATGGAAACACCCCGCCAGCAGCTGAGGTGTTCCATCAACTCGCAGGGGACACTCGCCAACATGGATACAGGATCCGACATTGACCTGGTGTCACTGAAATTCGCTGAGTCTTGTGGGTTGGACATTTCATATTTTCCTCATAATGAAGGATTCGTCAAGCTCTCCAACGGTACAGTGAAAAAGCTCCTAGGATACAGTGACAACCGGCTGAATTTGGGAGAGGATTTGAGAGAGAAGAGGTTCTTTGTCCTGGATGGCCTCGTTGCTGATGTTGTCCTGGGAGATGACACTCTTGAGGACCTTGACGTGTTTAATAAACATGTCGATTCATTTGTGGATCAAGATGATTTTATCGAAGCGGACAACTTTCACATGATCGAATGGAGAGAACGTTACGATAGTGTAGAAAGAAATGTCGAGACTCTTCTGCGAGCCGCGGAAGGGGTGCCGGCAGCGGAGGAACCAAGTTTGCGGCGACGTTTTGCTCACGTATTGAGACATGGACCCAACAATGCTCGCACAAGCAGACCTGTCAAATGCGGTCAGTTTCTATACAACTCACATTGCATTGAAGCTAGTCACTGATAATAAGCAGATGTCCAACTCCGGCTGAGGCGAACACTCGAAGACCTTGACAGGCTCGAGGACCATCTTGACGACCAATCCCACAGGCGGCTGGAGAAGGTTAGAGGAGATGATGTGCTGCGAGAACAGCAAAGCAATGAACTCCGAAAGCGACAGTATCAATATTTGCGCACTAAGATCCTCGGAGGCCTACAGAATTTTGATAAGATAGAAAAGGGATGATGCTATCGTCAGGCTTTTTCTTGTTTAGACCATTCCTATCTCCTCCTTTTAGGATACCCTTTCCGGCAAATAAATGAAGGCAAGGCCAAGGACAGATACCTGCACATTTTCTAGCGATTAATGGCACATAGGTTCCATTGTAGAGCAGCAGGACTTTAGATATGGTATTGATTATTGTTTGCTGCAGTATAAATAATTTCTCAGACACACTACCTAGACCTTTGTGACAACTGAATAAGTGCGGCACCGTAGTCGTTCAGTCTGAGTTAACTTAGCTGTATTATCAGATGTTTCTAAATCTGCGACGAGCCTGAGAACATTCTAGATAGCCCTCGTATACCGACCAAGATCAATGTTTCCAAGACATAGCAAGATTCTCTCCAAAGCTACTGTACAAGGGTCTCCAATCCAAGAACCCTTATCCAGTGTTATCTACCGCAGCAGCAAAATCTCCGCTAACAAACACGACAAGAACCGCGGCATACGCTGCACAAGCACCAAAAACCTCTGCCCTCCTAGCATTTGTCATCATGACAATGGCGACGGCAAAAATGGCAACAAACATTGCAATAAGGCCTATCGTTATATTTGGCTGCGAGGATGCTATATGGTAAAGAACGAATATCGGTAGGAAAAGTAGGATACCTGCGAAGAAGGTAGATATAAGAGTTGCTACAAAGTGGATTCGCCTGAGGGGGTAACGCACCACCTCGTCCCGCGGGATATGAGAGATAGCAGCGCGGTGTTGAGGCAAGAGCGGTGGTTCCCTTGTTCGGAAGCACCTTGACACATACGTACCAAGAAAATTGGTCAGAAGGTCTGGGTGAGGTTGTAATTTTAGTGTCACATAGTCGGAAGAACGGATTTGTCTCTCGTCCATATCTCGTGGGTACAGATTTGAACTGGCGCCGGTAAGCATAGGTAACGTTGTCATTTGCGGCTCGGCCTCGTTCAGGGCAACTCGTGTGTGGAAGTAGCCCGACAGTGCCTTCATCGTCTGCTCGGTAGGCTGTGAAAAGGATAAAACCTTAGAGTGTCGAATAAGTGCTTCTTGATACTCCACCAAGGTTTTCCGGATGTTCATGGCAAGATCCATTCTTTTCTTCCATCTATCGGATGTATAAGTGTCGGAGGTAGGTGTATTTGCGCTTGCTATATTCTGAAATGTGACCCAGTCACGAGTGTGCTGCCTGATAGTTCTCCGCGTTTCCGACGAGCTCAGAGCTTCGTTGGCGTCTTCAAGATCATATTGGTCCTGGCGTGATTGCAACTCTGCCAGCTCGCTCTGGTAAAATAGGAGATCGCGAGCCGCTAATCTTCCAAATCGACTATAGACAGCCGTGCTGTGATCTTCATCGCTGTCGATAAAGTCGGCCAGGGCGCCAAAGCCTGAAATGTAATAACGATTCGTGTTATCTTGCTCTTCATGTACCATTGCGAATAGCTAGGAAATCTGGTCTTGTAGGTTGTTCTCGGGAGATAAGGCGAGGGCGAGGACATAGTGCTGATATTCGGTGGGATTGAGGGGATTGAGGGGTAAGCCATTATGGGCACGGCCAAGATCATAAATAATAGACATGATTCCTTAAGAGGCACACTTCGGTATCCCGTTCGACCAATAACAATGCAGGGTACAAACAATCTCACAATCTACGTCCGGGGCGGAGCAAGCGATGTCAAGTGTACTGTCGTGCGAATGCGTGGGACTTTAGGCACAGCCACGAATGGTCGATCTCGAAAGTCGTCGCGCTATCGCTCTAAGCCCCGCAGCCTTCTTTAATCATAGTAGGTCTTCATCTCAGAGATATATTCACGCCCTGATTGAATGTTTTGCAAGCCGGCGATCCCATACGTGCTCGAAGGAATTGGCCATTTAGTGGTCAGGAACACCAGTCACCACAATAGCTATGAAGATGCTCCAAAGAGCTGGATTAGTACTCAGATCGGTGACAGCTGGGGAGTCCCCGGTGTTGTATAATTTTTGCCTATTCCGAAAATTTACCTTTTTCTTTCTTTCTTTTTTTTTTTTTTTTTTGGACCTGGTTAGTGACGATAATGATGTCGGTGTTTCGGTAAATCCAACTGTGAATGGCCAGACAGCACTGACTTGTCATGTACTATTTCATGCCAAGCGACGAAACAAAATCGCAGTTCTCACTAAAAATTTTCACTACCACGCTCCGTGGTCACTTGATAAATATCTAATAACTATAAAGAAGATACATGAGCTATTGCCATCGAGAAAAAGAGTATGGCTTACTGATACACCGCATCATTTTGGTCTGATCCAGCACATCACCTAGCCGAAATTGTAGGTTCCACCTGTAATGGACGATCCAGCAAGTACATTGCGCCCATTGATCGGCCCATTGAAAACAGATCGCGGCATATTTGCCGGCGGTTGGTCATTCTGCACAATTCCTGGGTTTTCTTCCGAGGATACTTTTTCCGATCTTTTGGAAATCATGTCCTTGTCCGTCTGAGTATAGCGCTCGAGAATCGCCTTGGTTGTCGCCGCCGCCGTAGCGGCTGCGAAGTCCTGCCACCCCTTGTTCTTATGACAATCAGCATAATCGCACACGCCCTTCACCACAATACAGGGCACTTCATCCCAGACTCCGGCCCCTTCCATCTCAAAGGCTATGACATTCTCTTGTTGGGCAATTCTGTCCCGGTGCCTAGCCGATTTGATCACAGTGTCGCCAGATGCGACAGATCCAATATGTATGTTGGGTTCCTGTATGACCCAATCGCTTGCTGCCTGCTGTTTCTGCCTCTCATCGAGTCGATCCCGACGCACGAGATGGATCTCGTCGCAGCCTAGGGCGATGCACGACGAGCTCATGGCCAAGTCACAGACGGGATCTGCATCCTGGATACATTCGTGGCAGATACACGCAACCTGTAGATGATGTTTATGGCGATAGCTCGGCTCAAAAAGCTTATCTTGGGCGGTTCCGGGGTAGCTATATTTATCTTTGCCAATGCGCTTCTTTGAAGCTGCATTGGCTTGCAATTGCTCGAGATATCTAAGTGTTCGGGTTTCGAGCCTTTCCATCCCGCGATCAGTCCCAAACAAAGCAATAAGGCCACGGACGTCTTTGTTTGAGCGGCCAAGGTTGTCTTGGATAGTATCTTTGCGTTCAAACTTATCGGGGTACTGTCTTCCGAAATCGTACTGAACCACCGAACTGCTGATGATCACATCGCCAAGCAAGATTTCTCCGTGCTGACGACTAGTCGGGACACCACCGCAGACGCCGACAATGAGGGCAAGTCTTAGGGCAGGATAGCTAGAACGCATGCTGGCAGCTGCGCTGGCCGCGTTCACCTTCCCCATATGTGGTAAGAGGGCCAGGACGACATCGTAGTTGCCTATGCGACCAACCGTGTAGTGGTTGGGATCTCCACTGGCTTTGCCATACTTGTCTTCGTCGTCATCCCAGAATTCGTCAAAGATGAGTGAGACGGCGTTGTACTCGGTTTGCAATGCGCAGATTATCGCAACGGTGAAGCCATCACGGTCGGAAGGCGACTTGAAAGACATACTGGAATGAAGCGCTGTTCTATGTGTTCTCCGCTCTATGTATTGCAAGTTCAAGACGGGACTGATATGCCACCACTGCTCGGGGACACGCATGCATGGTAGAGAATCGCATAGTCGTCGGGCGGTGGCGCTTCATGCTGATGCGGGGTTCGCTACGAAGCCAAGGACCTCAGCTGGATAAGGCTGGCGGCTACAGCCCAACGAGCAAAGCCTTGGGCATACTGAATGGATACCCATCCATGGCAACAACCGGAGTCTGATTTTTGTGATGAATAAACGACTGTCGTTGTGTCGTGGGTTGAGATACTAAACCTGGCCGCTATCTATGAGATCGATCGCTTCCGTCGTACCCCACCTTTCGATCGAAAAACGATTACCTACTGCACATGGCCACGTCAAACTCTTTTGACCCGATCGGAGGGCGCAACGTGCTGGCAGGAAGTCAGTTCAATAACACAACAATTAATTTCGGTGACCAGAAAGGTATGCAAGATTGACTTGGTCTTTTTGCTCATCAGGAAGCAGGCTGAGTGTCCATGTAGATTCCCTTCACGATGCCCAAGCCGCCTGCCAGGCGATCCACTTCCCGCGCAACAATGACTTTGTCCGGCGCAGCGGCATTTCCGCGCAGCTCGAGCGGCTACTCCCGCCCCGGACCGAATACCAGAGCGCGGCGCTATGGGGACTCGGCGGAGCGGGCAAGACGCAGCTAGCGCTCGAATATGCATACGGCCGATGCGCCAACGACTCCTCCTGCTCCGTGTTCTGGGTCCACGCCGATACCGAGACGTCGTTTGCACAAGACTACAAGTGGATCGCGACAAAGCTGAGATTAGCAGGCGGCCTTGATGGCAATGAGCTGCTAAAGGCCGTGCGTGCTGCCATCGAGGGGCTGCCGCATTGGGTCATGGTGCTTGATAATGCGGACGACTTGTCGCTGTTTGGGGTCAGGCGGAACCCAAGGCTCGCACGCGGTAGTGCCACGGATGGTGCCGGCAACGGTGCCAGCGATGGTGGTGTCACTGACTTGTCCGCTTACATCCCACGAGGCAACACTGGGACAGTGCTGTGGACCAGTCGAGATCAGCAGATTGTGGGCAGCCACGTGGGACCGGGACACGGCATCAACGTGGTTCGCATGACTGATGCAGAAGCCGAGAGTCTGTTTCAGGCCATGTCAGTCCTCGAGATACACGAGGGAGACGAAGGCCACGGCGATCTGCTACGACTACTAGCCGAGCTGGGCTGGCTTCCGCTCGCCATCAGCCAGGCTGCGGCCTACATCCGGCGAACAAAGATATCGATCGGCGAGTATGTCGAGAGGATCCAGCAGAGGAAGAAGCGGCAGAAGATACTAAAGAGGTCAGAGCATGATCGCCATCGCAGACCAGAAGTATCGAACAGCGTATTGGAGACTTGGGACATTTCGATGGAGTATATCAAGAGGGAGAACAGAATGGCGTATGATATCCTAGCGGTGCTCGCCTATGTGGATAACCAGAATATCCCGTATGCAATCATGGCCAGGATAGCGGAGATGCGGGACGATGAGAAGAGCGATAATATTGACGAGGAGATAAGCAGCCCAGGTTTTATCTCCAGGGGCGGATCCGAAAGCAATGGTAGAGAAAGCAGAAATAGCGATGAGTCCGACAGCGGCGATGACAACGCAGGCGACAGCGAAGACGACAGCGAAGACGACAGCGAAGACGACAGCGAAGACGACGATGACGATGTGATAGAGGCACTCGCTCGGCTTGAAGAGTTCTCTTTCGTCACTTTGCGCCCAGTGCAGACTAGCCGCAAATCTCATGGTGACCGAGTTTATGACATGCACAAGTTAGTGCAGGAGGCGATCTTGTACCATCTGCATATACAAAATGCCAAGAGCCAGATGGAGGCACGGTCCGCGAAAATGGCATTCGAAATAACAGACATGCTATTCCCCGAACAGTGGCACCGTCAAAACTGGGACTGGTGTGAACAGATGCTGGGACATGCACAGCGGGTAGGCGAATGGGCACGACTTCACGACAAAGGGGAGGAAGTTGCATACTTTTTGTTCAGAATATCGGATTATTTATGTGACAGGGGGAGATGGAGAGAGAGGGAGATGGTCGATATGGCGATGTCTAAGCTTTGCGAGAGGATCTTGGGTGAGAGCCATCCGCACACGCTTATTGCTCGATCGAGGCTAGGAGTATCGATTCAGCGATTGGGGAGGCAGAGGGAGGCGGAGAAAATCCACGCGGAAATACTGTCACTGCGGCGCGAGATCCTAGGAGATAAACATCCAAATACAATCGAAAGTATGGTATCTCTTGCAGCGACCTACTTCAAGCAGGGGAGGTATAAGGAGGCAGAAAAGATCGAAGTAGAAGTGCTGTCACTGCGACGCGAGG